ATATAAAAAATAATTTTTTTTTTTACTTTTACGTATAGTTTAAAGATGATAGAATATATATATCTGATTATATTACTCTTATTGTTTAAATTTTATTTTTTCAATTATTTGTTCCTTATTGAAATTCTTATCAAATTATTTTTTTGATGTAATTTTATTTGTTAATAAAATAAATGAATTTTGAAATAAAATTTTAGAACATCAATGTTTTATTATTTTAAAATATATTATTATAATTTATACAATAAATTATTTTTTTGCTTCTTAAATGAGTTTTTTATTTTTAATATATATATATATATATATATATATATATATATATAGAGAGAGAGAGAGAGAGAGAGAGAAAGAGAGAGGTATGTTCTAGATACCTTAACTTAGTTTTTTTATAAAAAAATTAATAACCAACGAAAGAATTCACAAGTTTTATTTATTTTTATATATATATTTATTCAGAATTTATCAAAATCAATTTTATTGTAAATTATTTTAATCCGTTGACTTCAATATATTTCATATAATTTAGACTTTTTTATATATATTTTTCTATTTATTCTATATATTCTTAACTCGTTAAATGTGTGTGCGCGCACGCGCGTGTGTATTATTAATTTTGTTGGAAATTAACTATATATCTTCACACATACTATCAATTATTTGTTATTTATTTTTTCATATTTAAAATTGTTTTTAAATAAAATAAGTTCGATAATATTTCGAAAGAGCTTCCCAATTATTTAACTGCAAATTTTTATATTAATATTATTAAATATTTTATTAATAAATATATATAAATCAAACGACTTCTCTCAGTGTATAAATTCAATTTATATTAATTATCAGAAATAAAACTTCTACTCACACTACATCGTACGATTCGTTAATTCTACATATGCAATGGTTGTTTTATCGCAAGATAGCGCGAGTATTTAACTTGTAAAATAAACTAAACTAAAACATAGTTTTATTATTCATTTCACTATTTGAAATATTATTCACATATTTACAAATTACTATTCATTTCACTATTCAAGTTATTTTTTTTAACACTTTGGTCCTCAAAATTTCTAATTGTTTTTTCAATTTCAAACTTTAATTGTATTGTGATTTAATCCTATTTTGTTTTAGTATTTTTTATTAATTATTTTTATTATTTAAAATTTACTACTTTAATTTTTCATTTTTAAAATTCTTTTTTTCTTCAATTTCAAACTTTAATTTGTTAATTATTTTTATTATTTAAAATTTACTATTTTAATTTATCATTTTTTAAAACTCTCTCTTTTTTCAATTTCAAACTTTAATTATATTATGATTTGGTCCCATTTTATTTTAGTGTTTTTGTTAATTATTTTTATTATTTAAAAGTTACTATTTTAATTTATCATTTTTTAAAAAATCTCATTCGATTAATTTAAAATTATATTTACTGATAATTTTGATTTATTTTTCTATATGTATGGATTTTGTAATAAATTTTTAGAACATGATTATTTTTTCTTTTGAAAAATAGATTTAGATCATTTTTAAATTACAGTGGCATGATTAATATATATAATTTATCTAAAATACATTTTTAGATTAAAAGTGTATTTCAAATAATTTTTCTCAGTTTTTTATATTATTTAAAATTTACTATATTGATTTGTCATTTGTTTTCAATTTCAAACTTTGATTATATTGTGATTTCATCCCCTTTTTTAGTGTTTTTTGTTAATTATTTTTATTAATTTAAATTTACTATTTAAATTTGGCATTTTTTAAACAAATTCTCATCTAATTAATTTAAAATTATATTTACTGATGATTTTGATTTATTTTTATATATTTATGGATTTTCTAATAAATTTTTAGAACATGATTTTTTTTTTGAAAAATAGATTTAGATACTTTTTAAATCATAGTGGCATGATTAATATATATAATTTGTCTGAAATACATTTTTAAATTAAAAATGTTTTTCAAATAATTTTTTCTTGATTTTTTTATTATTTAAAATTTACTACATTAATTTGTTATTTGTTTTTTAAATTCTCTATTTTTTTTTTATATTTCAAACTTTGATTATATTGTGATTTTGTCCCCTTTTTTTTAGTGATTTTAGTTAATTATTTTTATTATTTAAAATTTACTAATTTGATTTGTCATTTTTTCAAAAAATTATCATCCAATTAATTTAAAATTATATTTACTTACGAGTTTTGATATATTTTTTTATATGTATGGATTTTGTAATAAATTTTTAGAACATGATTAGTTTTTCTTTTGAAAAATAGATTTAGATAACTTTTAAATTATAGTGGGATGATTAATATATATAATTTGTCTAAATTACATTTTTAGAATAAAAGTATATTTTAAATAATTTTTTCTCAGTTGTTTTTTAGAAAAAAAAACTTAAATTAATTAACTAATAGTGGAAAGTCAAATGTGAAAAATAAAAAGAAGGTGATTGCTCTATGCGTGAGGCCCGTATTCAAGGACTAGCCATACACAACATATAAATAAAAAAATATTTAAGAAGGAGGAAAAAAAGGAATTCACATGTTTTATTAATTTATTTCTTCTTGATATAATCAAAATTATTCGAAATCAAATTTGTAATAATTTTTATTTTAGTCTATTAACTTCAAATTTAGTCATATATTCTTTGCAAGTTAACTTTTTATAGCATTTTTTGTTTTAGATCGAAAACTCTAAACTCGCTTAGTTTAGTTATGATGTAAAAAAATATTGAATCGTTATTTTTTAGAAATCATTATGCAATCACTACTCGCACTAAGCATTTAATATTTATTTATTTGTTTTTGAATTTTTTTAAAATTAAATTATTTTAAATTAAATAATTAAAATAATATTTTGGCTTAATCACTCAATGATTCAAATTAATATAGTTTTTATTTTAATATTATTTATTCTTTTGTAAATAAATATTTAAAAATTAAATTCATATTTTTTCAAAAATTGATATTCTCATCAACATTAAATTAAAAAAAATTATTTGTTCAATTTTATGTAAGCTTTTAATAATTGTTATTTATGTTTTTCGACATAATCCTATGAAATACTAAATCTTCTTTTTAATTTATTTAATTTTCTTTTTAGTTAATAATCCATGGATTAATAAGGATGAATCCTTTTTCTAAAGAAAGAATTATGAAAAACACAAATAAGAAATAATTAAATACAAAATTTTTTATTCAATTAATTTTTTATATATTTGATTTTATATATTTTTATAGATTCACATCATAAAACAGTACTATCAAACTAAAATGACTTTTCTAAACGATTTTGTATTTTTTTCAACCCCTACAATAGCGTGGGCAAAAAACTATTATCCACTAAACTAAAAAGAGCAGCAAAAAGACATCAATGTTACTGCTATAAAGACAAATAGAAAAATTTTATGTTGATACAAAGAGAATAAAGAAATAGAAAAAGAAAAAAATTAAAAAAGAAAAGTTTGAGTGGATATATTTTTATCATTTTGAGTGGTTACAAATGTGATATTTTTTGTATTTATCTATCTTGTTAAAATGAGTCCATAGAATAAATAATACTAATTACTCCAGTAGTATTTTGAAATTTCTCAAACACAAAGGCCATTGCTCACAATAATATATTTTTTAAAATCATTTTGGTATATCATAATAACGCTTACCTTCGTTGCTCTCTTGCCTCCCATTTTCTTCCGCTCCAAACTCTATCGCTTCCATCCAGTAACCATTTCTCTCTCGTTTTTTCTGTCTTCTAGTTGGGCTTTTACAATTGATTTGCTATTGGTACTGCTCAGAGTTTGAGCCGACAACTCATTAAGAAAACCTGTTCTCCATGGTTGCTCCATCATCTTTTTCCTTCCTCGCCCTTTATTCTCAATGCTTCGATATAACATATGATACATGATATTTGTTATGTTGTTGATTGGGTGGTATTTGATGGAAAATTTTATAACACTCAAGAGTAGCTTAGTAGTATGTATAATAGTTACTTCATAAATCTAGTTGGAGGAGAGAGATAGATACATAAAATTACATCAAGACTCAACAAAAACAATAAAAAGATTCAACGTTCCCTCAATTTTTTTTAAATTTTCTCTCTCTTATTTTTTTTTATCTATCTCTTTCCTTCAAGTAGATTTATGAAATAAATATTATACATATCACTAGTTATTCATTGAGTATTATAAAATTTTTATTTGATAATGTTGCACTCGTATTTAAAAACGTTTTCGAGAGTGCATTTGGGTTATATCTTTTCAGCCCAAACACATTTTTTTTTATAAAAAACACTCAACACTCCATTACTAGACACACACCAAGCGATCAAACAACTAACCGATTCTATAAAATTTTACAGTTTATACCTGTGAACCGAACTAGCTTGACTATCTTTTCTTTTTAATAAATATTATTTAGATTTTTTTATAAAAAAATAAAACCGCAAACTAGTCCCAGATTTACGTACTTATGAATTCTAATTTTTATTATTTGACGAATCAAAGTTATCCACGTCACATAATATCACACCTACAATCATCAATGTTAATATAATAAATAACATACTCGATCTAAATTTTCATGTAATCTTTTTATTCATCTAAAATAATGCACAATAAGCTCTACTGTATTCAACTTTAGTGTCAAAATAACAACGAAGGAAAATGTATTGATAAAATACATCAATTTTTTGTCCATTAGGGTAGGTGATATTTCCCACTTCTAATTTGACGGAATTTTTAACTGCAACTAAAAAGGAATTGATGGTATTGTTTAATGTTGGGATAAAATTGATAAAATTTGCAGGTTTGGACTTAATTGAGGATGTTGTCATACATTTGGGATTAATTTGAGGTTTCCCCAATTATGAACCCATCAATCCCGGTGCTTAAACCCCATTTCATTTGCGATCAAAATCAGCAGAAAACAAACAAACAAATGAACACATGAATAAATGAACAGCAACAGCAGTAGGAAAGTGAAAGTGATGATCTTATGACGATGATGATGAGGTTATTGCATGATTGTCTCATGCGGCAACGCCTTACTCTCCACCGCCACTTCTCCTCGCTATCCACCCCAACCAAAGTGCCTGTCCTCTACAAGAGCCCGCAAATCAACGAATCAAACCACAACGACGCCGTAACTCTCCAGCTCTTTTCCTGGGGCAGAGGCGCCTCTGGTCAACTTGGTGGCGGCATCGAAGAAATAAGGCTCTACCCAGCTCCAGTGGCCAACCTTCAGCTACTTCCCTCATCTTTCACTCTTTCTCCAACCCCAGGCCAGCTTGTTGGCAGTAACGACAAAAAAGGAGTGACTGAGGTGGGCATTTCTTGTGGGCTGTTTCATTCGGCAGTTCTTGCTGATGGTCATTTTTGGATGTGGGGCAAAGGGGATGGAGGCCGTCTTGGCTTTGGACATGAGAATCCTGCTTTTCTTCCCACTCTAAACCCTTTTTTGGATTCCGTTCGCTCTATTGCTTTGGGCGGCATTCATTCTGTTGCCCTCACTTCCCTTGGCCAGATTTTTACATGGTCATTACTGCATCCCTCTATCGATTTCCTTCACGAATCTGAGATAAAGAATCGCATTAAGGATGTCTTTTCTTGATACATTTTCATTAAAAATAAAGTTTGCAGGGGCTATGGTGGTTTCGGTGCATTGGGACACTCTGTTTATCACAGAGAACTCTTCCCTAGACTGGTGGAAGGTTCTTGGGATGCAAAAATACGCGACGTTTCCACCAGTGGCACACATACTGCTTCCGTCACTGAATCAGGTTATTCAATCTTTTCTTGATTTATGCAATGAAGTAGCAACCATTTGTACAGTTTAATTGCAATTTGTACATGCCTTAGGAGATACATTTCCACGTACCTGTTGCCTGTTTGCAAATTGCAACTGATTAATTGGCTTTTATGCCTCTTTACTTTGATTATTCCATCTAAATGCTCAAGTCGTTGACCACCTAACAGTATTCTCCAGAATTGATACAGAATTTGTAAATTCGACTCTATATGATGTTAATAGTTTATGGATATATCTATTCTATTACAAATAATACTATTTGTGGTCCAATGACAGAACTCCTATTCTAAATGCCATTGCATTGGCGAAGCTGATGAGGCCTAAGGCCTAAAGTTTAACGAATTCTACTCTAAAATTTTGTCTTTTGCTTGCTGTCATACATCTGGTTCCTATTTTGGATGCAGGGGAAGTTTATACTTGGGGTCGAGAGGAAGGGGATGGTAGACTGGGCCTTGGCCCTGGCCAGGGCCCAAATGAAGCGGGTGGACTTAGTATACCCTGCAAAGTGAAAGCATTGCCTGTGCCTGTGGCTGCTGTGTCTTGCGGTGGGTTTTTCACAATGGTTCTGACAGAGGAGGGGCAGGTTTGGAATTGGGGTGGTAAGCATAATTCTTTTATTTGCAGGATGTTCTCTCTCTTTTCCGTCCCACTGCTTGGATGCAAGTATCTGTTTTATTTTTTCAAAATGCTGTGAAGGAGTTTTAATGGAGCAATATCATGCACTAATTGTCGTTCAAGGTTTGGAGGAAATCAAAAGAATGATATATTTGTAGGCTTAGTTGAACAACCTCTTGGAATGAATAATAATCTACTGAAATCTGGCATTTGTAAGGCTTTTGATAAAGGATGGCACTAGAGCTGCAGCCATGCGGTCTCATGAACTATTCTTTTCCATTCAGGTTATCTAGGGATATGTAAAATTTTGTGTTTCTCACTGCTTCCACTTCATTCCATTTGCAATTTTGGCCTTCCTTTTGATGCTGTGTTAACTTAAGCTAAATTAAATTATTTGTCATTCCATTTTACTGTTTCCTATGTTGCACATGGCCAAAATTGTATAGGAGAATGCCCTGCATCTTTATTCCATTAGTGCCAATTCTATGTTCTTATGAAGTATTTATTTATATACTTTCATGTCCTTGGAGTGTGTTTTAAAATGCTGGCTGTTAAGAAACAACATCAATTGCTGTATTATGCACTTTCTGTGAAAGGCTTGAGTAGAGTGGAGAGTTTTATCTGTCACAAAAGCACTGTACTTTATGGGCACTGCTATTGTTTACAGGTTTGATCTATGAATTTTTTATGTTGTTACAAATATGACTATGATTTAAAGAAAGATGAAGGTTAAGGGCTCAATATTAGATGAAAGCCGTGTCTCTTTGTGTTCATGATGCTATGGAATCATTTGTTCATTGAGTTTGAAATAAAATTTTGTCAAGATCTTTTTTATGCTGTTAACTAGTGTGACAGGCTGACAGCTGACTCATTTTGTCATGATTTCAAATTTGACCGAACTTTCATTTTCTTCACTTTAACACTATTAAAGTATCTTGCCCTTTTGCTCAGCAAACTCAAACTATGAGCTTGGAAGAGGTGATAAGGTTGGCGGTTGGAGACCAAAACCAATTCCTAGCCTTGAAGATGTTCGTATCATTCAGATCGCAGGTGGTGGATATCACTGTCTTGCCTTAACTGGTAAAGTGACTCCGGAAATTTATGATTACAGAAGCAACTGCAACTCTTGTTCCTTTTTCTTCTTTATCCTTTCCTTTTTCTTTTTAGATTGCATGGCATTCTCTACTAGTTCTGATTCTTGATCACATTATCAGATGAAGGTAAAGTGCTTTCATGGGGCTTTGGTGGACATGGTCAGCTGGGCCATTCTTCAATTCAAAGTCAGAAAATACCAGCAGTGATCGATGCTCTGGCTGATCAGCGTGTCATTTACATTGCCTGTGGAGGTTCATCTTCAGCAGTTATAACTGGTAAGTTGAGATATGATCTTGAATTGCATCTTTTGGCACCTTCTTTTCTTTGCTAGAGAAACACTCTGATCCTACAAGCTGGTAGATTCTACAAGGGTGCCACATACTCTTATAACAAGTTGCCCCTTCAGTATATTAGAAAGCTGATGACATTACATTACTCAGTTTTTGTATTGGCAAGATATGATTCTCAGCTTACGGGCATACTATAATTTTTCCTCTTACATGAATTGGTAATCAGCGTTTGAATGTGTACAAATTCCACACTAGTTGGCTTGACTGTGCCCGAGATGGAAAGTCCACCCAAATCCACCCGATTTGCTCTATACCCGGGCAATAAACAGTTTATTCTCCACCATTTTAGGATGTTGATCTGGTTGTCTATGTCAGGTATTGATAATTTGTTGAATAACAGTTATTAGATTTTGTTTGAAGTTTGGTATGACCTCATATAGAATATAGGCCTGTCCACCAATTTGCTCGAACCTTTGAACCAGATGCTGTAGTTTCTGACTTTTATTCTTGGTTGCATTTCATTATCAGTAACCCACATGTTACCATTGTTTGGCTAGATGCTCTTACTAATGCTACTTGCATATAGTTGGGAGTGAGGCTTGGAATTTTCTTAACTTTGCTTGTTCTTTTGTCCTTCTAAAGTGCAATTGTGGTTTTCGTGTAGATACAGGGAAGCTGTACATGTGGGGAAATGCCAAAGATTCTCAGTTGGGAGTACCTGGCTTACCAGAGGTTCAATCATGCCCTGTCGAAGTTGAGTTTCTAATGGAGGATGATGGATTGGGACACCACAGTGTGCTTTCTGTTTCAGTTGGTGCATCTCATGCAATGTGTTTGGTTTTGAGGTCAAGTTGTTAAAGTGGGTGTTATTGTTTGGAGGCATGTCAATACAGAGATTTGTCGAACTTGGATAAATCTCTTGCAAAATGCTTCAAAGATTCATATTGATACAAATCTGAGGATGACCTGATTCGAGGATGATTAGCAATTGAGCAAAATACTGCCACAACATTAAGATGATTAGCTTGTACTGGATCTTCTGGATTCAAGAGGATTTTTTGGCTCTACCTGTTGTATGAAATGCTTGCATGACCTGATCTTCTCATCTTTACTGCTAAGTGGTTATTCAAAGTTGTGTTTCCTTGGAAACTATTGTGGTTCCTAATCGCTCTTGAATGAATCAGAGGGCATTTAGTAACTGAATTTTTTGGACATGGAAGAGTTTTCAGTTTAATTATAGTGCTGGCACAAATGCAAGGTATCTTCATCATCTCATGTAATTCTTGCTATTGTTCCATCTTACATACGTGCTGTCCCAGTTGAAGCATGGTGTCTAGTGAATTTTGAGGTGGCTTTTATAATTAACTAGCTGCAGCTAGAAATATCTCGTTGACGTTACATACTTTTCTGATTGTTGTCTTTAGACATGAGTAATCGCTCCATTTTCCGAGTTAAAGTCAGACATGAGACAAATCCATGAAATTTGTTTTTGTTTACTTGAAAATGCTGGTAATTGGTCTGTATGACAATTGGAATCGATGTTGAAGATTCCTGCATGATTCATTATTAAAAAAAAAAAAAAGAAAAAAAAAGGAGAACATATAAGGTGTATTTTGCTTGCCAAGAAATTTGTTTTTACTTGAAAATGGTGGGATGAGAATTTGTTTGAACTTTTTTCACAACTGAAACCTATTGTGAGAACAATCACATGTTCCCACACACACAGAATAACTCTGCATACCATTATGATATGCCTTTTGATATCTAGTCACAGATGATACCATAGAGTTGATCCATTCACCAGAAACCCATTTTTTGACGTATATCATTCCTCATCGAAGCAAGCTCGTAGCTTGATGGTTTATATTGATCAATGGCTATAATTGTGCTAGTAAATAGTTAACAATCCGGTTTGCTTTCTGTCCATATTTCATTCATGCATTTTTGCAGGATCAGATGCGTGTTATTTTCACCCCTTTCTGGTTGTAGGATATGATCTCTGCTAAAGGAAAAACACTCTTCATGTAAATAATACACGAAGGATCTCTTTTATCACATGCCAATCACTGGTTCTTTGTGAAACAAAATTTGCCTAGAATGTTCTAAACAATGATATTACTAGAGCTGGAATGAATGAAGAACAAAGCTTTTGGGAGCATTGTCTCTCTTTTGCTTTATATATAGTATTTGTGAAGAGACAAATATAGTTAATCCCATGAAAATTTGAGCGTGCAGCCATCAATTGTTGGCCATTTGAAGTTGTTCCTCTTCCGAGTCTAGACATGGTGCTGATGTTCCTATATTTTGTAGCTGCATATTATAATCATACCAAATCATGGAAGTCGTGCAGCTACTCATGTTATCATCAGTTGGCAGAAATCCCTCGTGAGAATGATCCCCATAAATTTGAAAGTCCTGTATAGATGGTAAGTCTGCAGCTGAATCTATGTTTTCCACGTTGCCCATTTCCCAGAATACTTCTTGATCATCAAAAAGCCAGTTTTCGACAGGGAGGGTTCTGTAAGCTTTTTCTAGAATTGTTTGCATATATTTTCTCTGTGCATCGATCCTCCTTTGAAGGTGTTGCTTGACCTATTACGAAATTGAGAACAAAATAATGGTAAGAATGACAGGCCCCTTTTTTTAGACACAGAACTTGAAAATTTGTAACTAAAAGTCTTGTGTTTTTCAGTAATTTTATTTGGAGTTACCTCAAATTGCTCATCTAAGCTCCTCTGTACTTGCATTTGCATCCTAAGCACTTCATTTTGGTGTATGTTCCTGATAAAACATTGCAGGAAACCTATGAATGTTAGTAGTTTCCATGGTCTAAATTTTTACGTACTTGGAATTGTCATGAGAAGAAAACATAGGCTGAATGGTCTTTATATACGAACTCGTTCAAGCCATAGCCAAAGATTGGGGCTGTAACATCATCTTTTTGGTTTGTTGGAGTCCATTTTGCTGCCAAAAAGAGTGAAGCGATGCAAAGATCATGAACTTCCAACTGCAGGATAGTAGAAGAGTAGACTACTAGCAGGAATTCAGGTATGATGGATTCCTAGTTCCTTACCATCTCTAACTGCCTGTTCATAATTAAGATAATTTTGTGGTTGCTTGCCGAGCCTAAATTTCTGTGTTGGTAGTCATTAAACAACAGAAGATATCCTGAGATGGGATTTGGAAATTATGTATAATATACAGGTGGGAACCGAGGGATCAATAAAGAAGAAATTAACCTGAAGGTGGCTCTTCAAATGATACAGGGTTAGACCCTTTACACCCATAATTTTCATTATGGACTTTGGTGTGGCCTCTGGATTGGATTGAGACAGGAAAAGGAAGCACAAGAAAGAAACAAAGTAAGGATATAGGCAGAGGATCAGTTAATAACAGTATAATAATGATCCATGCATGTGTGTGCGCGCGTGTGTATATAGGTAATTACTATCTGGTCCTCCAAGCTGGGTGACAGCATCGACGAATCGTTCATGAAGCTCAAGAGTCCATCGGAGGCGAGGCTTAGGGTCAACTGCGAGAAGAGGGCCGCTCTCTCTCTCTCTTTGGAAGAAGGGTGGCTCCCTATCTTGCATTTGCATCATAGGAGGTATTTTGAAATATTGCAACTTTTGTTACTCTCCAACTTGTCTGCACTCCGATGAGCGAGGTCAAATGCTATATATATATCGGTCAGAGAGGGAGAGAGGAGGAGGAAATCATGTGCGTATTGAATTCCACTAGAGTCCAATGATTGGATTTGTCAAAGTATAAATGACATCATATGTTTCAAAAGCTACGAGGAGAAACAAAAGCTTAGCCACCGCCTATTTATGTCTTCCACCTCCTTTCTAAAAGTGTTTCTCCTGTAAGGAGGTTATCAGAACTCGTGTATTAACATTTAAAGAGGTATTTTGTACTTTACATTTCCCAATCTGCCATTTTATGTGAAAATAATCTATGAATTCTTATCGCAACATTAAAATCGTCACCTAAAAATATCAGATCTCATTAGATAGACTTTTTTCTAACTCAACTAAAAAGATTCTTATCGCAACATTAAAATCATCACCTAAAAATAAAAAAGTTTTTCCACTTAAATTAAAGAACTCATCATTTGAAATAACGTGTCGAAATTTTGTTTTGATTGGATTTGAAATTATATTCGATCAAGACAACGGAACAAAGGTCACGTTGTTTTCTTCTCTCTCGGCAAAAGCTCGTTTTCTGTCTCTTTTTGTTTGGCTGTAGCCTTAGCTGTCGCAGAATTGAAAAAATAAAAAAAAAATTGACTTTTATACTGCTAGTTAAGGGAAACCTTTTTCTTTTGTTCGTATGCGTTTTGAGTCCGGCGTGAAAAGTGACCCAACCCAACATTAACAACATTCACGGGGCTCTTTTTTTCACTTTTAAGACTACCTACCAGATCAGATCATAGTACTAGCAATTATTCCCACCAGAATCAATATTAGTTGATCTCACGTCCTCTCATTACCTATAAAATTAATTTCATTCAACTTACATAATTATTCCCTTCATTTATTTAATTATTCTCTCTTATAAAGCTTGCAAAAGGGATATACATGCATGATCGATGCTGGTCTTAACATATGATTTGCTCTTTTTTTTATATATATATATATACAGACAGGCAAACAGACTAGTTAATGAACGAATTAATTTCCCTAGCTAGTTCTCTACGTTGGCATTACTGTCCATGTTATTATTCCAAATTAAAAATGGGTTAGTTTTCGATATTTTAGGGGTAGAAGAAGAAGAAGAAGAAGAAGAAGGTGATTTACAGCATAGACTACTCAATCAATCATACCTGAAGAGGAAAATGCACAGTTCTATTGATTATATATATACATAATCAAAGCAAAAGAAATCAAAGGGATCGATCAAGGACATGCATGATGTTTAACATCAGCTTTTGGTGCACTTTTTTAAAGAAGCACTACCGGGAAGTAAACGCAAATCAACGCAAGGCAATGCAAAGTCAAGAGAGAAACCAATCATTTAAGCTTGAATGGCTGATGGTCGGTCTGCTGCACGTGATGTCGTTTGTTAATATTAACAAATTAAATGCATAAACGTGAAGTATAAATTGAGCTGTTTCGCTTTGCCAAACCGTACATGATCCATCCATATGATTTTGGTCCTATAGGGGCCAGCTGTAAAGTGTGCTTAGCTTGTGAATTAAGCATAAAGCAGCTTTGTTGCCGAAAAATTCTTCTTCCTATTGGCTATAAAAGTTATTATTATTATTATTATTTTGCTTATGGCCAGGTTTGGTTATAGTTTTGTTTGTAATTAATAAAAGATTTTATTATTTCATTAATTCAAAAAAAGAGATCCAACCAAATTTCTATTAATTAACGATCAAAAGCATGAAACAATGCAAAGAATAATTTGATGATCAATTCACCAACTATTTCCATCACCACGTGATGCTCACTCACCACCAGCTCTAAGTGCCATCACAGCCATTTGTTCTAAAAATCAATCGCTGTTAGATATGAGTAATAAGTACTGTAGCAAGCTTTGACCTTGAAATTGGAAGGAGGGGAGTCGCCAATTAATTGAATTTAATTTCTTTTATTACGTACATTAAACTCTCTATCAACAATTTCCTCATTTGCAACTGACCATTGAGTTTTTCATACAAATGATCGAGCGTTTATTTACGATGATAAAATAGAGTAATTCGGCATATATACGTGTTTGCAATTTGAGAGTATTCTATATATTATTAATTAATTAATTAATTAATAGAGAGATGATCATTTCTCTCTTCTATTGTCATGGACCAAAGAGCCCAGAGTTCCGCATGTCTCCGTATATAGTACTGCTTTCCAATCTAAGGCCATTTCTTGGACCGGATAATATGCTAATTAATGGACCTGAAGACTAAACTATATGCAATGGGGTACAGTAATAATTAATGGAATTAAGCGCGGTTTATAGCCCAAGTAACACATAGGCCAGCATAGGTGCAGAAGTGGTAATTAAACCCACAAAAAGTTCAAAGAGGGCTAACTTAATTAGCGTAGAGACTGGAGAGACATTGCTCAAACCAATAGTATCCAAAAAGCGTTAAAACCCACAGACACAAAGCTCGAGTAGGCTTGCTTAGCCTGTTCAGCCTTCAAGCCTTCGAGTAAACTGCTCCGTTGACTTGGATACAGTCCCACTTGCTGGAGCAGAAGAGAGAAAAGAGACCCATTTATAGGGCAGTGTACTGGTTTGTACGGATAAGTTGGGCCAATAGAACGTGGTTCCGTCTTATTTTATTGATCATGCATGGCCCATACTCCATAAGCAGACAGAATACCGTGGAGGTGTCGAGCATCATATTATGCATGCTCATACATAGCTGGGCAGTACCTTTCCTGTGTAATTTCCTTTCTTCTTTCTCTTCGAGAATCAGCATTCAAGTAATCACAATCGATTCAATGCATTTAATTGACAAGCCACCTAAAATTGTTGTCGACTCGATCGAAATTATTTCAAGCAATTTATTTTGCAGGTCGATATATATATATATAGTAAACAACCATTTTAACAAACCAACAATGCATGGATGCGTTGATATATATATATATATATGATTGAAAAAAAGACAAAAGAAGCAATTAATTGAGTGGATTTGTGTATTTTAAGTAAAATTTGAGAATAAATTAATAGGTAGGAGAAGGAGGAGTGAGGGAAGGCGCAGACAAGAGAAGCATGTGTGCGTGATGAAGAGGGAAAACCACTTGGATATGGTTGGAACTGTTGGGTGCGTGACCAAGACAGATATATGTATCCTCCATGATTTATTAATTACATTCGTTTTTGGTGTTATTATCTTGATGGACTCACACCTTTCTCGTATCCAGTATTTATTGACTTCGATCCTACACTAAATTTACTGCTGCTAAAAATAAAATAAAAACTGTGCTCGGATCGATTAAACTTGTCTTTCATAAAAACCTCTGTTTCCATCGATCAATGATTAAAATATATTTGGCCCTCTCCTTAATTATAAAAAACCGACCAAAACTAAAATTACAATGAATGCATACAAATCAAAACCAGATCAAATGGTTTACGCAAAATAGTAATAAATAAAATCATAAGGTGGTAACCTAGCTAATAAATAAATATAGATTTGTAAGTTGGATTGATGGTGATTAGTATTATTGAAAATTTATTTTCAAAATCGTATATTAAAGATGTTCTTTAACCACATTCTGAGTGATATTGGTATCAAGATGCATAAAAGTTGATTTGAAAACATCATTGCTGTTACATTTAAAAAAAAAAACTACAAAATATAACTATAACTTATCACGAATACTTCTCTTAATTGATTTAATTTGTTACTACTATATATAGCATTGTACTATATATGCTAACAATAGCTAATGCAACAGTGCATGTAGCGGTTATATATATATATGTATAGGCATATTGAAACTATATATTAATATTGTTAATTAATATTTAAGGTATAGATCTTCTTCCATGGTTGAACACCACACATTGTGACTCTGGCCTCGCTTGCTGCCCACCGGCACTGACGGGACATCCCATCAACCCCACTGATGTTGGAACCATGCAATTATACGTCAAGCATAACGACAACGTATCAGGCAATGCCAACCCTGACTCCAACGGAAACCATGTTATATAATTATGTTGCAAGTACAGTGTTTTCGTGCTGCCTCCATACACACTCTTCACGTACTCCTCAGGAACCCTCCCCGTCAGATGGTTGTTATTCAAGAACAACGTCTCCACCGCTGCCAAAACCGGGGATAATTCACCAGTTAGGAAATTGTGGCTCAAGTCCACGATTGAGCCCTCACCGTACATTAATGTTGATGATGTTGATGGTGATGGGACCCCACCCGATAAATTGTTCCGTTGCAAAAACAAAGAAGAGAGAGTGGGCCTCAAGAGAGAGGCAGGAATGGGCCCACTGAATTGGTTCATGCTTAAGTCGAGAAACACTAACTCCGATAACGATTGTAGCCCGTTGAGTGGGCCCCCCATCATATTCTTCGATGCTGACAAGTAACGGATCGTTGACGGCAGCCTTAACGGCAATGTCCCTGTTAATCTGTTGTCTTTCAAATCTAAATGCAGAATATCCGCTGACACCATTCTTGGTAACTCGCCGGATAATTGGTTTGAAGCTAGAATCATGACTTTCAACTGGGCTAACTCGGTGAAGAGACCCGCCGGGATTGACCCGGTGAGCTGGTTGTAACTCAGATCGAGAGTGTGCAAGTTGGGGAGTGAGGATAATGAACTGGGAATGGAACCTTTTAAGCGATTGTTGGTTAAGGAGATGACTCGGAGGTTGCTAAGTTGACCCAGTTGAGGAGGGATAGAGCCGGTGACGAGGCCGGGGTAGAGGACGATTTGGGTTAATTCGGTGAGGTTGGAGAGGGAAGGAGAGAGGAAGCCAGCCAGTCCAGGTGAGTTAGAGAGGCCAGTGCCGAGTGTGAGAATGTTGACTCGGTTGAGAGAGCAAGTAATGCCAGAGAAGGTTGAGCAGGGATCTGGTGAAGTGAAGTCCCAGGTGGAGAAGAAGTTTGAGCCTGGAATGTCCGTAAGGCTGTCTTTTATGGCTGCTAGAGCTGCAAGATCAGTGCTGCTTATTTTGTTTTGATTTTGTTGGCGTGAGGGACGACATGCATTGACAAGAAGCAGCAGCAGAAACAGGAAGAGAGCGTGTGGTTTGGCCATGGGGAGAGAGAGATATGTTTGTGTGAGAGAAAGAAGGAGAGAAAGAAAGAAAGAAAGGAGGCTATTGTATTGTACTAACAACGAGGGCTGTCTTGATGAAAGAAAGGAGCAAAAGTTGGTGGGCTTGCAGAGAATTTAGAGATTACCTTCCCTGGAGTCTAACTTTAGAGAGGTGTGCATGGAATCGTGTGCTGGAAAAAGTAGGAAGAAAGGGGGAGAACTAGTGAAGGAAGTGTAGCCAGGTGGGGGGTGTGTGAAATTAAAGAAGGCATGGGTTTTATGGTAGTATATATTTGTGTTCAAAGTTTAATGTTCGGTAACTGGTGGTGATCAACTTGATAGTTGACTGTGAATGGGATTATTGGATCCAATCACCTATTGACATGTAAGGTTTTGGAGACGTGGGGAGAAAAGACATGACCAGCTTGCTAAACCCAAAATGTTACTGTTGCTCTGTGACTTTTCAGCTAGGTTTGACTCATCATAATTATTATTCCACGTGATGCTGACGTAAACTGTTTTTTTCTTTCTATTGTATAAGTTATCGTAAATTTAAAAAATTTAGATTAATTCTTTATTTTTTTTAACTGAATAAAATGAAGATAGTTATTTAATTTTTTTTTAACATATATAAGAATTCAAACACAATACTACTAGTTTAAACAACTAAAATATTTTTTTGTTCAAGCAAATTCTCTAAGTGCATATAAACTATTTTTGTAAATAAAGATTTTCAATGGATCATAATCATTTTACGTGACATATATATATATATTATAAATTTGTTTACCAAATGCAGACACATTTTATCGTGTGCTATACTCAGTTTTTTCTTATTCAGTACTCGCTAGCTAGTCAGTATGTATAATTTAATTTCTTTTGAGATATCTGATCTTTCCTAACCAGCACATGCATGTTACTAATTCTTATATGCATTGATAACCAAAAAGAAGGCAAAGCAAGTAATTAGCAAGTTATGATCCTCCTTTGTTTACATATAGAAATTCCTAATCCATGCTCAGCCCACTTCCTTAAAGTTATGATCCTCCTTTGTTTACATATATATATGATTGTAACTTTAAAGATTCTTCAATACCGAAGTTTTGGTTGGGGTCTAAGTGCTGCTACCGAAAAGATCAATCAAATTAGTTAAATGCCAGAACGATCCACCTATTCACCTCCTGTATTTTAATCCCATTAATTACAAAGAATGCTATTGAATCCAATCTTTTTGTTGAAAAGGAAATGCCTTTTTGTTTAACATAATTAACTAGCTAGCTAGACCATTTGCATAGCACCAAGATGTGTTTCTGCTTTTCGACCGTCCCTTTTATTTTTTCATCAGACGAATACTTTTTTGAAAATTTCAAAAACATGAAGATCTTATTCTAAAAAGAAAAAACTGAAAAAATAATATTCTTGCACTAATGCTGTTCTATACTCAGAGAGAGGAGTTGAATCGGCCCCAAGAAACTCGCGTTTCTGTAAAGTTTGTTATATTATAAGGAGGGAGAAAGCAGTGGATCATCTGAAAATTGCTAACTTGACTGCAACTTGGAGACAAGAGTACGTACTACTGAACTGAAGCTGTTGGGTTTCCTTTTTCAATATAATTAAAAGGGAGACAAAAGGGATTTAAACATAAGTTTGACCACGAAATAATACTATAAATTAACAAAAGATAGAAAAGACAATGGTCTAAACCCTTTTAATTAGTTAGGACTTAGGGCTTATAATTCAAAATGAGATGGCGGGGTATTAGATTCATGCGTAAATTATACGATCCATTGTTTGTATGTGGGTGCGGGAGAGAAAAAGGGTGCAGGCTGGTCGCACATGGAAGAAAGGAGTCGTGGGCATACAAAAATGTTTACTACACATGCAAAATGGTGGGACAAAGGTAGACAGCGTATATGAATAATTGAGAGAGGTGTTTGTGTGTATGCGCATGGGCAGGTTATGAGGTTAATAGGACAAGAAGGCAATGGAATTTTGCTTATATTTTAAGGCAAATAGGCAGTGATTGTGGATCTGTGCACTAGTAATAACTACTACTTTGAGATACTCCTAGCTAGAGATGGATTGATGAATTGCGTTGCGTGACGTTACAGATGGAAAGATTCCCCCTCGCCTCCTCGTGTTCTTTAAAAGTTTAACTAGAATGGCAGAAACATGCAAATTAAAGCTGTATATGGACGACGGAGTCTTGATCCTTTGCTTTCCTCCCGCATGCATGCCTCTTTTCTTCTGTTCATCCTTACTAGTACGTGGACCCATTACGTGTATGTGCATCAAAGGAAGCTCCTTACGCCATAGCCCCCTCCTCCCGTGTCTCTTTGCTCATCGTCATCATTATCAACATCGACGCTTTCTTGGTCTCGGCCTGTTGATGTTTGTGGAAAAAGCAGCAAAGTTTTGGACCAATAAATGGTGCAAAGGCTTGTGCTTCGGCTCGGTTGTGGTCCTGCTTCTGTTGATGTTTGTGGAAAGCATACTGGGCCGCAGGTTTTCTTTTCGTACAATATGATACAGTACAATTCGGGACCAAAGGCCCAAAATGAAAACAACCACTAGAGGCAAGGCCGGAAATTGAGCTGTCCCTTGTAAAGAGTAACACAGATCCGTTCGATTTGACATGCTAGCCCGATCAAAATAGATCTTTCTAATCCTCTATGAGTAGAGAAAAAGAAGAAGGCCCACCTCTATTAACAGTAAACCCAATTCTTTGAACATATAATGGGGAATGGGCCTACGTTAGATTCAGATAGGCAAATGGATCCTTTCCTCTCTCTACGCAATTAATTTAATTCACTCTGAAAATAATAAAATAATCGTATGTGAGATGATAGACATCATTTTCATTTATTATTGTTAGATCTAGATATTATTTTTTATTTTGCAAGTATATTATTAATCAACGTGACAATTTTTATGGGAAATAATAAATAGTAGTATTTTCGTTACTTGATTAAATGATGGACTGGTTGGATGATTATTTAGTGTGTGCTTTCCTGTAGTAGTTAATTGAATTGTCGGTCAGAAAATGGATTACTCAGTAAGGTAATTAGCGCTGCTTTCGTAATAGTAAATAAAAAGAGTAATTAGATTGATAATATGTCAAATCAAACTGGAGTATCTTTAAATTGGAAAGACAGGGCATCAATAGCGCGTCGAGTGTGTACGAATATCCACGTGTAAACAAAAACTTTACAGCGTGAATCTAACGCTCCCTTTTTCTCTATCTCTTTGGACGAGAGGAGAGTGGAAGCTAGAGTGTGTGGCACTTGAAATTTCCAATTCCAAGACCGAATCTTTTTATTATTATTTTTGGTTCTTCGAAATAAAAAAAAAAAAAAAGGGGGAAAAGAGGAAGAAGGAAAACCCAAGGAATTAGTGTCGTTTGTAAATTGGTTGCTTGGCATTCCATACCTTTCCTGAAAGTTAGTAACGAGCAACGACACGACTTCCAGAAAGTTATCTCTTGCGGCTTCTTTGCTTTGCTTCCCTGCCTTCCCTTCCCTCTCTGTCCTTCTATGCCCAGATTCTCTATCTACTCATCTTTGCTTATTATTACTGAAATTGAAACACACTGTCTCTGTCTCTCTTGCTATTGTCACTGCTGCGACCTGCAACTCTAAATAACAGGTGCTTCTTTCATTTTTTTTCCTTCTTAATCAAATTCACTATATTTCGTTTGCATGATATGTACCTCCTTTATTTATTTATATATGATTATGATATACAGATCTCTTAGCTTCAAAATTTGTTTCTTCTTCTAAACAATAATAGTAATGATAATACTTCTGATTTGGATTTGCCTGAGAATCTCTGTTTTTTGTTTGTTTGTAGTAGTTCCTTTTATTATCGACTTTCTTTGCCATTAATATTTAATTAATGGATAAATTATTCGGATTTAGCTCTGAGTGAATGAACTGAGAGGAGAATTTGTTTGTGCAAAAATTGTCAATCATGGCGTTTAATCCGGTTAGGTTATTCCATGCAAATCTGAGACAAGAAAGTTTCTTCTATTTACTACAAATTAGTTAGTCAGTTGCGCTTTTGCAGAGTATTTTTTCTGATTAGTGATTGATTAATTTTCCATAACAACCTCTTTTTTGATATTCTGGTTAGAAAAGTTGCTTCAAAATGATATTGTTAATCTTTCTCAACAGGAAGAAAGAAAGAAAGAAAGAATGCCATGCTCTTTAATTGCATACTGCACCATATGTTTGATTGATAGGAAAACACAACTTCAGAATTAACTGCGGTTTCTGACGATTATGTTGTGCAAATCTGATGGATGATCAGGTGGCAATTTCCTGCACGCTGCATATGCGTGCAATTTTCTAGTTTTTGATTGAGTTAAAGTGAATCAGCTATGCACAAGGATAATAACAACACCAGTACACCATCAACACCTATTGCTAGGCTCCGGCATCGTAGGCGCTCCAGTGAGGTTCGTTGCTCTAAGTTTGATCTATGTTTGTTTATTTGGAGAAGTGATTATCAACAACATTGATGTGCCAGATAGCTAGATTGGTTTCTTTCATTTGGAAAAATGAAAAAGATGGATCTCTAAACTAAATCTTCTGTTTGGTCTTTTAGGCTGTGGGGGAGGCTAGTAAAGAAAATGGAGGCCGTTTACTGGTTAATGATCAGAACAAATACAAATCAATGTGGATCCGTGCTCAATCCACCATTTGGATGATTGGGAGCTTTGCATTAGTTGTCTATATGGGACATCTCTATATAACTGCCATGGTGGTTGTCATCCAAATCTATATGGCAAAAGAGCTCTTCAATTTACTTAGGAAAGCAAATGAAGACCGGCAACTTCCAGGTTTTAGACTGTTAAACTGGTAGGCAAACTAAACTTTCTTTTCCAGTTCAAATTGCTTCTTCTTCTTCTTCTTCTTTTTTATGCTGTTTTTACTTGGGATTAAGTTGCATTATGATCCTGCTTGACTTTTAGATACTATCTATTACACAGTCTCATCTAGTTTGTCTGTTTCTCCTTTTCCTTTGTCAGGCACTTCTTCTTCACTGCTATGCTATTTGTGTATGGTCGCATTCTCAGTCAACGTCTTTACAATACTGTAACCTCAGGCAAATTTTTGTTTCAGCTTGTGAGCAACCTAATCAAGTATCATATGGTTATCTGCTATTCCTTGTACATTTCAGGTTTGTCATATATGTTATGTTTGTGCTTTCTGTAATGGCCTATTCCTGCCATTGCAAATTCATTCCTTTCGCAGCGGCAATTTGTTTTTCGCATTCTTCTGGCATTGATATTATAATTTGTAAAATCAACACAGGTTTTATGTGGTTCATTCTTACTCTGAAGAAGAAGATGTACAAGTATCAATTCGGCCAGTATGCATGGACACATATGATTCTAATTGTGGTGTTTACACAGTCTTCTTTCACCGTAGCCAATATTTTTGAAGGAATTTTCTGGTAATTTTTTTAAAATTTTTACTGGAAGAGCCTTTTTAGCCTTCTCATTTGGAGCTTGTCTGTTAGCATGTTACTTGATATGGTTATCCATGGCCTGAGACTCTGTAGCAACTCTTCCCCATTTTGATAGCAATGGTTGTATTGACATGCTTCCTGATTCCACTTTTGGCATGATCTCTATCACTTTAGTCTCCCGATGCCTGATGAAATCCTTTCCAACTTATTCTAACAATGTCTAGCTTTTCCATTCCTCAGTCGTATGAGTTTGGCTGTTTGCTGAATACCTAGAGGGTAGAATTATGGCATTCCTTCAGAACTTAAATCCAATTGTTCAAGAGATTTAGAAGATTCATGTGGCACAATTTGTATCAAGAATGCTTTTGTCTTTGTGCTTGTTAGATGGAATTTTTATAGAGAAAAGAACAGAATTACTTAGGCTTTTGGATTAAACTGGGTGATGAAAAAGGAGTATATGCTTGCTACCTTTCATAGCAGGTGATACAATAAAAAACTAAGTTATGTGCTCCATGGTAAACCTTGTTACTAAATTCAATGACCCATATAAAGGACAATGAATGGCTGATACTAAAAGATAACTGTCCATGGAAAAGTTTTTTTTTTTGGTCAACATGTGGATTGTGGCATCATAAAGTCATGTTCTATTGGTCAATATGTGGATTATGGTGTCATAAAGTCATCTGCTGCTATTTTTCCCTTTCATTTTTCATGTTTTGTTTCATATTCATTTTTTGGGGTACAAAAATTTTCTTTCTTGTGTGTATATGTTTTACAAGCTTAGTTTTAAAAGATATGGGAAACACTAATGGCAATCCACAGTTGCTGATTCAGGCGGGTTTGTGTACCATTTGATCTCATATGCTATTCTTTATCTTATATTCCTGGTTGCTTTTTGATTTTGTTCAGATTTTGTTTGCCTCTTGTATTATTGATATTTTGTTGCTCATTTATAGATTTTCTCTGTGCAATGTAGGTTTCTTCTTCCAGCAACACTTATTGTCATCAATGACATTTTTGCTTATATATGTGGTTTCTTCTTTGGGAAAACCCCTCTGATCAAGTTATCTCCAAAGAAAACTTGGGAGGGATTCATAGGAGCATCTGTCACAACTATGATCTCAGCATTTGTGGTGAGCACAGTTTCACCTTCCTTTTTGCTGGACACCTTCTTAAAGAATATTTTGGCTATAAAAATAATTCCAATCACATTTTTCTGTGAGGATATACAAGTGTTATAGATGGATGTGCCTATGCTCACTGCATCATCTTGTGCTTTTATTTTATCTGAACTATGTGTGGCTTGCAACCATTGTGGTCACATATGACTCTTTTATCTGTTATCTTTTATTCTTATTATTTCAAATCTGGAGCTTTCCCAATTTCTGTTCTGATGATTTTATGCTGTCCAGAATTTGTACCTCTATCTTTACTAGGTTTAATGACATTAGTCTGTGGTATTGATTTTTGCTAGTATTAAAATAAATATAATATCAGCAAAAAATTTGAAAAGATAAAAAGAAAAAAGTTCCAGTGGTAAATAAATAAAACACTATCAAATTTTTTTGAGTAAGTTTTATTGTTTGGACTTTTTTTTTATTATTTCAAAATTTCAATTAATTTTTAATTTTTCTCAAATTGTAACAACAGAAATCTGACAATGTCTCCCTATCTCCCTTTTAAAATTCAAAATTAATGGACAAACGTTGCCTTATGGATCAAACCACAGACACCCAATTGCCCAAATTGGAACAACAAGGCAGCCTTTGTCAGAAATCTGTCATTAAATCATGTGTCCTACAAGAAATAATGCGGTTAACTGTAAATAGAAGAAATCGTTCCTTATTGCCAACTTTGGCTAATAATTATTGGGGAAATGATCTCGGTTTTTAAAATTATTAGTTCCTTTTTGCTGTTAGAATTGCTCATCAGCTGTCATCACATTCTTGCAATTCATGGCCACATTCATCACCTCATCAAGTATTCTTGGACTTTTAACTGATTCTATGGTTGTTTATGCAGCTTGCAAACATCATGGGGCGTTTTCAGTGGCTAACATGTCCAAGGAAGGTAATTTGTTTGACCAAATGTAAGTTGTTACTGCATAACAGCCTAATAGGTGTCTTGCTCACTGTAAGAGAAACTTGTGGTCATGCAGGATTTATCAACTGGTTGGTTGCAATGCGATCCTGGGCCTTTGTTTAAGCCAGAGTATTACACTCTACCAGAATGGTTTCCTCATTGGGTGAGTAAGCTGACATTGAATTAGACCTCAATAGTTTTGAGCTATGGAATTATCACACACCAAAGGCTACCAACCTAAAAACATTAATCCATCCTCAGTATAGCTTGAACCGTGTTGAACTTGGCCCTTGAATAGGAATGCAATTAACATCTTATATTGTTCCACCAAAACGTTTTGCATGTTATCCTTTTATTGTGTTTTTCTTTCTGAAAATTGATGTGATTACCTTGTCCTAGAGCCTTAGATCTGTTAACTGATAATTCCTTCACTGTAAAACCAGCACTGCTTTATTTAGCTATTAATGGTTTTGAATGCTATTTTTGTTCATCCATTTCAGCATATCAGAAGCAGTTCCAGTTAGAAATTTGGAAGTTGCTGGACTGAGTGACTTTTTATATAATGTGCTGTTCTTGTTCTTGTGCAGTTCCCCTGGAAAGAGATCTCCATTCTACCTGTTCAATGGCATGCTCTGTGTCTTGGTTTGTTTGCATCAATAATAGCTCCTTTCGGAGGCTTTTTTGCTAGTGGCTTTAAAAGAGCTTTTAAAATAAAGGTTTGCTTCAGTGCTTTTAGCTTCCGAAACTGAGGGAAAAAAAATGAGGTTGCGATGCATGGCAGGCATTGCAGATGTTTATATAATCTTTTAACTTGTTGTCCTCTATTTGCAACAGGATTTTGGCGATAGCATTCCTGGTCATGGAGGGATTACAGATAGAATGGATTGCCAGGTAAGATATAATGAAGTTTTTGTTGTTGATACAAGTGGTAGTTTGTTTATCTGGGAGCTCCATGTTACACTTGTTGAACGATTGACTGATAATGCCCAAAAATTCACATGTGCATTGTACTCTTCCCTCTCAGTGATTGCAAGCTTGATGGTCACATCATGCACATCAGTTCGCTTGCTGCATAATTGTACCAGCAAGCTTTAACAACATCTAAATGCCCTACTTGATTCTTTGGAGCCATGCCTCCATCTACGTCATCTTCATATTTAGAACTTGTTGGATCTGATAAGATGTGTATATACTCATAGGATAAGATTACTTGGGACCATGGTTTTAGACCAAAACTTGCACTTATGCCATAGATAGGAAGGTAAGAAAGACAATTAAATTGCAGAAATCAGTCCTCAATCAAGATTTACAAAATTCAAGGTGTTGCAAGTTTATTCCAGAGTAGACGCCTGCTCTCTATCTTTGCATCTTTTGTTCATCTCTTGAGGCAGATTTGAAAATTAAAACATGTAAATCAACAAGTGCAGTGTCGTATGCTAACATTCCACAGCCACACATGTTTTCTCATCTGGTTGATTTGATACTTTGATATAGATGGTGATGGCCGTGTTTGCATACATCTATCATCAATCATTCGTTGTGCCTGAAAGCGTCTCAGTTGATATGCTCATGGAACAGGTGAACTTCTAAAGTTGTGCATATTATTAGTTCATTTTTCTAGATATGTTTTTGTAGACTAATAAAGATATCTGTGTGCACTGTTCTACTGTTTTGTAGATAATGGGAAGTCTTCCATTTGAGCAGCAGTATGCTCTGTACACGAGGCTTGGAGAAATGATCCAACGAAGGGTGACCGGACATTCCTAGATTTGCACAACCCGCATCCATCGTGTGCTTACTTCCTGCCAGCATGTTGCGTACATGGTGGCCTGGCACTGAAAGGAAGAAGTGTATCTATACGGTGTCATCTTTCCCATTTCCGGTTGATGCATTCTTTAGTACATGCACTCTGTATAGTGTTTAGCTGATTATTATGCAGTAACACTCTCAATGAAATATATTGCTGCTGTTGCTTCTTCTACCACTTCTTGTTGGTTTAAAAGCAGTACAGATTGCCCCCTTCAATTTTTCAACCAAGATGAAGAAGCTAATGATATTGTTGAGGCAGCGCTCATAGAGAAGCCTAGAGATACGACTTTGTTGAAGCCAATTTTATGGTGCGCTATGGATCTGTTAATTGATGAACTGTATTTGGAAAAGTCAAGTCAGCAAGGAGTAGCTAGCAATGGCATTATGACATCTAATTGATTGCGAGTAATGAGAGTGTAATGCTCGCTGTGCTCGTTGTTGTTTTCTTTTTTCCTTTAAATGAACTGCAAATTGCAAATATCTACCACATCGTGGGTGAATTGATGTTAATATTTATTTATGTTAGCTGTCACCTTGGAACATCCTGAAAAACATGAGCAAATTTATCACTCTTTGTTCAGAATTCAATGTAGACCTTGATTTTATCACTTCTTTGAGCTGAATTCTCATCATGTGATTTACTACAATGAGTAGATGATATAATTTTTTTTTACTTTTCTTATTTTTGTTGTTTCTGGCCAGCAGCCTGAAAGTCAAGACTGACAGCAGTATTTCACCTTCTATGGCGTATAAGAATGCAAACGAGTAATACAAAAAATTCATAATCGAAGTTTTTCTTCTTCTTGTTTAGCCTAATAGTTAGCTGAAACATGATTGTTAGCTGAAACATGATTGTTGATAAAGGATTGTTTTCTATGCATCATGATCCAATTAACAATAAAATTGAGTGCCTTGAGTCGATTGTAAAATATTCCGATCAATAAAGCAAGTCTTGCTCCCGCTTTAGCTTAAATAACGAGGAATTGTGTTCTTCATGCTCCAAAGCAACCGCCTCCCGCGTTTGCTTATATGACGAGGAATTGTATTCATCATGTTCCAAAGCAACCGCCCTTTTTTCATTCAATGGGAACCAGCTCTAACCAAGATAACTAGCCGACATTACACCAAAAATAGCAACCGACTAGCCATAGGGAAATTACTAAAAAGGATCACATAGGGAAGAATAATCAGGGTGATTACTGATTAAGATCACAATCCACAATTATCCAATCAGAAGACACAAGTCAGGTCCCTCAAAAGGACCGCACAAGTCAAGACTTAAAAGACCAAAATTCATGTTTTGTCAGGGATTCAAAACAGATTCATCACATTAATGTAGGTCTCCAGGAAAAAAAAAGAAAAAGAAAAAGAAAAAACTATCAAAACCCAAACTGTCTAACCTGAAACTTCCAGCAAAGCATATATGTTACATATTCTACTCAGAAAGGAAAAAAAATTGATGTAGATCCATTTAGTTGAACAAAAAATTGAACGATCTTTTTCTTTCTTGTCTGCCAACTCCCAAGTACCTCATATAATGAGCAAAAACCTATAATTCCACCATTTCACTGCTTTCATTGAGCTTTCGGTTTCTCAATCTTCACATATGGAAGAACACCCATTAAACGGACGACTTTGGGTGACCATCCGCGCTGCTGAGCACGGCAGAACATCAAGAACGTGTTTGCAAAGTATGAATTAAAACCCATAAAGACATGCCACAAAGCATGACCTTGTGGGTTGACGGGCCAATTCGATATCTCCTTGCAGAAAATACGATCAAAAAGCCAACACAAAGAACCGATGAGAAGGGTAGCCACATACATCTTTGCAAGCAGCTTAGCAGAGGCATCCTGTGTGTAAATGTAGTATTTGTACATTCGAGGGATGCAGAGGAGGCAGAGGATCACATAATGCACCTTGAAGCCAATTCCAAAATGCACCACTGAATGGACTGCAGCAAAAACAGCACCATACAGAAAGAGGAAGGTGGGCATTGTACTGCGATAGTGCCAATCCGGTGAGTGGAGGATGTACATATAGAGGAGCATCTCCCATACCATAGGGGTTTCATCACTCTGCTGTTGCCTGGAAATAAATTTCAACCATCATCTTCAAGCGTGAATCTCCACAATAAAAAACATTCATGGAAGTTCAGCATCATTGCTCTTTATAGATAAGCATGAAAAAGTAGAGAGACAGAGAGAGAGAGAGCTTGTTGATTGAGAGATGTCATTTTTGTTGAGTGTCAGTAGTTACATTACAACTAGTATATGAATGTATTGTGCTAAGCCTGCTGCAATGGTGGATGTAGAAGAGAAAGCATCGCTGAGCTTAAGGTTTTAGGCATGCGGAGCTCTTTTAACCAGACATGTCTACAATCAAGAAAGCTATCTGTTTATAGCTGGACGATTGCCAAATGCTTCTGTAAGCACTTGTAGGCTGAAGCAAAAACAGTTCTTTCCACCCTATTCTCTTTAGCTCCGTAGAGTAAATTTCTAAACTGAACCCTGCCACTCTATTCATGCATATAACTCACATAAAAGGGATGGTCAAATTTTTTCACATCCCTAATCTGGTTTATACAAAAGACGATCACTCACATATATCCTTTTTAGAGCACACATAGACACAGAATCAGGAAGGAGCCTTTACAAAACAAAAGGCAAGCAGTGGTCAAACTGCATCTAATGACTATCTACCAATGATGATTTGTGATAAGGACACTTTAATTGCAACTTGAAGACTAAAAAATAGTAATGGAGGCCGCATTGCTAACGTAAACCAACAGAAAATTGAAATTAGCAAAGTTTTATTTAGTAGGAATGTTCCAAATAAATTTTCACAATTGCCAGAATATGATGCATTCTACTCAGATTTTTATCTATCAAGCAATTAGGTGATCTACCAGCAAACATGAGAAACTATCTATATAAAGATTGTTAAACAAAAGATCATCAGCATAAAAGATGAAGGAAACAGAGAGTGATACTTACACACGTTGCAAAGTGGCGTGGAAAATCATGCTTCCAATGGCAAGTATCATGTTAGATATGTGGAGAACACTGAATCTCTTCTCAAACCGCTGCCTCAGCGCATTTATAAGGCCAATGAGTGCCAAAAGAATGCATGGTATGTTGGAAAGGGTGTTGTAGAATTCGGCAATATAAGAAGAATAGGCATAATTCTTCTCACAACACTCGTTTGTAGACGTGACAGGACCCCAGAAACTTGATATTCCTCCCTCAGCCATTCCTGCCTAACTATGCTTAAAGTTTGAAAAGATTGAATAAATCTCTAATATCAGTATGTTGTAAACAAATAGATCAAGTGCCTGCAGATTCATTCAGCAACCCAAAAATCCAGTTAGACAAAGTAAGAATGAAGAAGAATATTCATGAAAAAAATCAAAATCGCAGGTTTTTGTTTATTTGGTTCATGTTTCCTTTAATTTATGTTTGGAATATGAAAAAGCATGCATCTTTGTCGCACAAACATAGAGAATACAGGCAGGAGCTGAGGTTTATGGTAATACGCTAGTAATAACTAAAAGGAACAAATAGAATTTGGGTTCAGCCCAATTAAAACAAAATAAATTATATTCAACAGGGTTGGCAATGATGATCAATCTAATAAATAAATCAATCAAAATTTAAAGAGTAAAAGCTTGAAAGCAAAGTAATTGGCAAAAAATTACAATAAGATCCAAACCCATTCATCCATCCTAATTTAACTTGACAAAAAGCATAATAATTCAGGATAAATAAATAAATAAATCAAACATGATTTAAAAAGAAAAAGAAAAGAACAAACCTTTAGGTGGATAAAATTAAAAAGAGGATGATGCTGATGCCATTGACCGTCTGCGGTGGCCTTTTAAGATATATCTGTGTCTCTCTATGTCTGTCTGAAATAAAAGCTAAAAAATTAATTAATTAATTAATAATCTGGCGAGCAGAACAGAGGAGGAAGAGGGTAAGGAGAGGAGAGGAGAATCTGTTTTCGGCATTTCGAGGCAAGGAGGGTAGCAGCAGCAACACGCACGATACACAGAGAAAGAAACCAGGGAAAAAAAAAAAAAAAAAAACTAAAAAACAATTAGACCCACTCCTTCCCTTCCTTTTTTGTTTTTTTCCTCTTTTTAATTTTAGTAGGGCTATTTTTGACTTTTTGTTGTTTGAATAGAACAATGACAATGCTTGGAATTCGCTTTCGTCTGTAGAGTCAAAAATCGAAGTGGTGCAATGTCGTGTTGTCGCCCCTGATTGATGCTTTCCAGCTTTAGTCGGCAATTCACTGGGCCTCGTTATCTTGCAGCCCATTTAACAAGCCATCTCAAGCCCAACAGTTTGGGTCAACAAACACAATCAACTTGATTGTCCAATAACTCCTTTTAAGCAGCCCAAGGTGAAGTCCAAATTTCCAAAATACCATCAGCCTCCGTTTGGTATAGCTATAGTTCTAAATTTTAACGTGATCGGTAGCTATCCTACATGCGTGCGAAAAAACTGGATGCTGTTGTTGAAATGTTTTTATTTAAATAAAATTAAAAAAAGTATAATAATTTTATTTTATAGCTTTTAATTTTAGTTTTCCAACTAATAATTAAAATAATTTTATAAAAAACAACACTTCTTCTGTCACACTTTTTTAATTTTTTAGGACAAAAACTTATAAAAACTCAACAAAAATCAGCTAACGTCTGAAACAGTAAAATAAGGATAAAAACTATTAAATTAGATAAAATCTTTTTTAAAATTTTAATAAAAAAATTCGAATTATACAAAGTCTCAGTATACATAAAACCCGTTTGTTAAAACGAGCCGAAATCCAATTTCCATACGTAATAGCACATAACTATCAAAATTTGGCCACTGTTGTGCTTGTGTCGAAGAGATGGTCCACAAATTAAAGACAAATATGTGGAGCATGTAAGATTAGAAATGTTGTTGGTTTATTTAATACTTCTATTAATTGATAATATATATAAACTATTTATGATTGTGAGTGCAATATTATGAAAATTCTCCACTGGGTAGCTAATAGGATTAGGATAAGGTTAATTAGTGTATATTGATCCCGAGTGAATCTTCCCCAAATCACAGTCTGATGCAAGGTTGAAAGATACTGCTGCTACTACTAATTAATTAAGTTCTGAATTTACCAATACTGTGAGTAGTCTTACGACATTGAAAAGTAATCGACTTTAGTAATTCAGGGTTGTATTACTATTCCTGTTCGAACGTAGACAGGAATTAAGGAATAGGAGTGAGTCAATTAGATTCATTGAACTTGGACACACAAACACACACATATACATATATCCTAAAAACACCAATAATGCTAGCTGTTGCTTCTTCTTCAGTACTTGTCTTGGTTACTTAGTCGTACAGCGCCATGCTCTTTCTCTATTTTCCACATCCAGCCCAAAAATACAGGAAAGGAAAAGTCCAGCACTAGCTACCTCCTAGGTTGGAAAATACATAAAATGTTGACATACATTTACTTATTAGAATAATAGTTAGTCACGTGTTACTTGATCCTTGGGTTGGGTCGACCACATCATGGCCTCATTTTTGGTTATGGATCACACAAGCTAATGAGTTTCCTCAAAATCAAATATTATGTTCTCATGCAAATAAACATCATGGTCACACATGAATAACACACGTCTTTTCCAAATATGACGAGCAAATTAATATATATTTTTTTACCAGATGATAATTAAAAAAATATTTTGGAATTAACCTTGTACTAACAAAGAATGTTGCATCATGATTAGTATATTCAGAAGTACAGTTGCTGAAGCAGGGTATGCGTGCATCTTTTTGATTAAATTAATTAAAAACGGTATTAATTAAATAAAATAAATTGGATGTATGAATAGTGACAGAAATTGGAGGATTCGTAAATGGTAATTAATTAAACGCACAGCATCTAATGAAAAAATCCGGGGAATAATGCCACGTCATTTTAATAAAGCAAAATTAATATTGCTACAACATTATTAACCTTAGCTACCCAAATTCAGACGTCGTAGAACTGGAGAGAATGGCGTGCGTGCTTAAAGAGAATGAACCTAGACGCTAAATGGCATAGAGATTCGTTGAAGATCAGCGTAATCTAGCCTACATACATACACGAGACATCGTAGTCCTCACACACTCCAACCTTTTCCTGCCCCCCTGCTGCCTTGCCTTGTATGTGTGTGTGTGTATATATATATATATATATATATATAATTATCATCATCATATCGACATCTTTGGGCCATTGTTCCTCTCTCCTCTAATCTCACCTTCTACGAATACTAACGGCACCATATCACCATCATCTCCACATCTTTACACCATCTTCTTCTTTATGTTTCTGTTTAATTTCTAGCTACTACTGCAATAATCATTCTCATCACACACAGATATAGATAGCATAAAAGGATCAGCGAAGAAAAGCACAGATATTTATATAAAAAAAAAGGTGAAGAGAGAATCAATTAATTAGAAAAAATGGCCAAAACCGGCCCAGTAAGGTTCAAGAGGGTAGCTGCAGCTTTCAACGAGGCATCACGGGTTGTTAGGCTTTGCGAGAGTAGTGGGAGCGAGCACTACTCTCCTGACAACAATTCTGCTGATCTTTCCGATCTTGTCAATTCTTTTATTGAAAGAGAGTACTATAGAGATCAACTTGGAGATGCAGGGAATCACAAAAACAAGGAAAATCAAAATGATCATCACCATGAAGACTCATCGGATTGCTCTTATTCTGAAACCAAAGATATGTTAAAGAGTTTGTTGACTATTACAGAAGATGATGGCGATGTGAGGCAAAAGATTCGCAAAGAGACAGAACTTGCATGTGGGATCATAGGAGAGAGATCGTCCCAGAGCTTTAACCGCAGGTTGATGTCTCGTTTACGTGACCGGGGCTTTGATGCCGGTTAGTACATTTTCCTATATATTCACACACACACATCAATACTATATTTTACCTCGATATGATCCGTCTTTCTATTAATTTTTGGTCCGAAAAAGAATCAAATTGATGTTTTTTAACGTATTTTTGCTTCTATCAAAAACATTCTCCAAACTTCGAATCCAAATGAAATTAATTTGAACAAGCACCCGAAACACAATAACAAAGATAACTTAGCATATATATGTAAATATTCTTTTGCTCAAATGTCGGATGTCGACATTTATCTTGAATTAGCAATCACAAAACTTATTAAACATTATAATTAATTTTGTTTCTTCTAAATTAATTAGGTCTTTGCAAATCACGGTGGGAGAAATTTGGGAGGCATCCAGCAGGAGATTATGAGTATGTAGATGTGAATGTTAGTGGAAATCGGTACATTGTTGAAGTGTTTTTAGCAGGAGAGTTCGGAATTGCTCGTCCCACTAGTCGCTACACCGAATTGCTTCAAGTTTTTCCACAACTGTACGTTGGTAAGCCTGAGGAGGTTAAGCAGATTGTGAGATTAATGTGCAACGCTATGAGAGAATCCATGAAAGGCGTAGGAATGCATGTAGCACCTTGGAGGAGAAATGGTTACATCCAGGCAAAGTGGTTTGGTCACTTCAAGCGGACAACAAATGAAGTATCAACTAGAAAGGGATCAAAATCTGATCATGATCAGGAGGTTGCAGCAAAAAGACCTGTTATTGGGTTCGAGCCTTTACCACTCACAGCTTTCCATTGCAGAGATGATTTTGCAAGCAAGGGTGGTTTGGGATTGGGAGTTAGCCATTTGACTGCTGCATTCAGAAGCGATGGCATTGATAGGTGATCGTTGTTAGTTTAGTTCCCAGAAGTTTGCTTCAGTAGCTAGCTAACACAGCCTTCCAGTACGTACTAGCCAACGAGTAAAGTGGCTTGGCTTTCTGCTCTGTGTATAGGGAAATAATATCATTGGTTTTTACTTTTATTAATTTAGTTTTGTAATTACCTCCCATTTGGAAGTCTCAACTTAAGGGGAGGAATTTGGCTTTGAAAGTGATTGGATTTGAGGTGGCATAAATACAAAAGGAGGCCCTTAATTTTGGCATTCTGCTAGAATCAAATTAAGCTAAATATCTGTTCAAAGGAAATCCTTGCAGTTCACTAGGCAAAGGCCAAGGGTAAAATCTTGGCCGAGAGCTTTGTGTAAGGGAAAGGATTTGGCTTTCAAAGCGATTGGATTGGAGTTGGGATAAATCCAAATAAGTTAAGAAGAAACGGATAAGACCCTTTGGCCTTTTGGCTTTTCAGCTTTTTCGGCCTCGTACTAGCTATATCATCATCTGAATGCTGTCTCAAGGCACCAACTAACAAACTTGCAACTATTGGAGTGGCTAACAAAAGCATCAAGCAGGTTGGAAGGGCGACCTTTCAGATCCTTTTCACAGTGAAAATATGTGTTTTGTTACATCAGCTTTTTTTTTTTCTTTTTTTACCACTTTAGTGTTAGAACTACCACGGTAAAAAAGTTAAAACCTTTTTGTCAATACCGTTGTGTTCAAGTTATTTAAAATCACATTTCATTAATTATGATGAGAGATGAGTCAAAAGGAATCAAAATGGCTTCAAGTGTTCCATCACTCGTTCTATCATTAAATACATTTTTTTATCCAACTTGTTTATCTATTCCATTACTTGATATTCCTGAAAATGTAGTTTATTGGCTTGAATAGTAACACTTTTATCCTTTTTAAGTGATTAATAACAGTATATATGGTGATTAAAAAAATTCGATTTCTTCTTTGACTTCTGTAGTATATAAATGAACTTATTTTTAATCTTAATATTGACTTATTGATTAAGAAGATTTAATCTATTTTTTGACTTCTTGGGCACTAATTAATTTATAACCCCAAGAGGTTGATTTATTGATTAAGAACATTTGATTTCTTCTTCAACCTTTTGGATTTAAATATTGGAACTGGCATGTACTCTATCTAGTTCAGATCCTGCTGGGCCTTCCTATTTCCTTTGTAACATCCTTTAAGGCTTTATGCGGATGATGATTCTGAAGCTACTTCAAAGTCCCAAATTGATTTATGGTGCATCATTTTAACATGCTAATGTAATCTCCTTGCTTACTGATTTTTCGCTTTTATTAACACAATTTTAAGGTTCTTCTGCATCCTAATTCTTGGCAAACCAGCATGCCTAAACATCAACCACATCCAGACTGCTCTTTTCCTGAGGCAAAGAAGAACTGTTTCAAATTTCTCAAAAAACTGAGGAAAACAAGTCTCGGTATTTATGGGATTGCGAATCAAATCACAAATAGAGGGATCTTTGCCGATTAATTAGTAGCAATACGTTTGATAATTACAGCCAGATCAATTTGTATGGATATTAATAGTCATCAATACACCTCCAACTGTGTATTAAGTAAAGTAAAGAGGTTCAAAGACATTGCTTCAACATATAAAAAAGAGAAAAAAGGTACTAACTTTGGAACAGAAACAGATCTTTTTAAATAAAGCGAAAAAATGGAAATAAAAAGGAAGATAAAAAATGTCGTCACGGATAGACGCAAACTGCTGGAAATTTCAAAGCAGAAAGCCTGGAAAGTGACGATTTATTGATTTAAGAGAAGGGTCTCTTAAAAAGGCTAAATCCTATGCCATTCCCCTCTTCTCTCCCTTCTCTTCTTCCTAATCTATCTCTGTCAAAGAGAAAGATAATAATGGGGAAAAAAAAACGCAAAAAACAGAAAAGAATGTGAGAAGCTCGGTAAGCAGATCTGTCGATCGGAGATAGAAAAATCAATCACACACAACAGCCGGCCAGTTAGCTTCTCAGCCAATTAGATTTGATATAGCTACAGCCACTTTGGCAATTCAAGGAGAAGGCCACTTTTATCATTCAACGCCTCCCCTTGGTACATGTAGCTTAGCCTCAATACACTAAAACACAAATTGAAGCAATCAATCGCAGCTCTGTGAACGGAGAGAAAACCAAAATAGAAAAATACCTGAAAGTGGGCTGGAGTGTTTTCTCAATAAAACCCTAGTGCCAAAGGCTGCATTTTATATGAAGTCCGTGGACATCTTGGGAGGTGGAAGAAACATCTCAGCCGCACATCTAAACATTTCGAAAGACACAATTCAATGTGATACATGTTTATGTCGGACCGTGTTGTTTGCCCATTCAATTCGATGTTCACAACAACAAAGCTGGACCAGTTTTCTTTGTTTCCATTGAATGGCCCATTGGACCTTGCTTTAAATAATCCACCAGACCCATACCTGTTATCTTAACAAATAACAATCCTTCCTTTCTTGTCTTTGATGTCGATATTGTCAATCCGGTTACCATAGCCGGTATCGACGACATTGACTTCAAAGATGACCCGTGGATCTCAATCAATATTTAGCTGATAAATTCTATGTTAACCGAGATTTAATTTGAGATGGAAAAATTTTTATAATGCTTAACAAGAAGCTAATATAATTTATTTTATAGAGAAAGACAGATACAAATAGAAATTATTATTTTTTTTAAGTAAATGTGAATTTTTTTATTACTTTTAATGAATTTAGATGTATTTTTTTTATGTGTTTATTTTTTTCAAAAATAAATCCATAAAGTAATTATTATATATATATATATAAAAGTTATTTTTTTGAGTATTATAAATTTTTTTATTAAAATATGATGTATTTTGCATGGATACATGGAGTATTTAAAACTAAAATTTAGGATATATATTATGAAATCGGGGTCACGAGGTGGAAGAAATTAGATTTTATTCGGACATATAAGCATCAAAGACAATAATAAACCACATAGGTAACAAATGGAGAAACCAAAGTACTAAAACCAGTCATTGGATCAAACATCAGCATCTCTCCTTCTAAAAATAGAAGTAAAGGAAAAAGAAAATCAGCAATTAAATAAAAGAGTCAAAGCTTGAACGGTTGTGATTCTGCCCCCAAAATGGTAACGTGCCGCCCTCAGAATCCGTAAAAATACCCAAACCAAACCCAACCAAACCAAAACACGAAACCCATCTTTCCTCTCTCTCTCTCTCTCTCTCTTTTGTATTTGTTTTTAAGAAACATTAAAAACATAAGTTTAAAAAGAAGTCAAGTTCAAAGAGAAGAAAAATTTAATCTCCTTTTTAATTAATCGGACAAGAAAAGAAAAGAAAAGAAAAAGGATTAGTACAACGAGATTTGGAGTCGTGGGGGCGCGATCCGGCATCGATTTAAAAAATAAAAAATGGAAGGAGTCGGGGCGCGGCTGGGGAGATCTTCCACTCGGTACGGGCCGGCCACCGTCTTCAGCGGGCCGGTCAGGAAGTGGAAGAAGAGATGGGTCCACGTCCCCCCGTCATCCTCATCCTCCAACCACAACAGCACTCACTCTCACCACCACAACGCTACTAGTAATGGTATTTCTTCTTCTGCTGCTTCCGCCGCTGCCGCTGCCGTTGCTAATAATTCGAGCTCTTCTAACGGTAATAACGGCTCGCATCTCTTGCTTTACAAGTGGACCCCTTTGTCTCAATCCAACGGTTCTTCTGCTACTACTAACAACAACGGTAACTATAATGCTAACAATAATACTGCTAGTCTCTCCAATGGCGAAACCCCCGAGGAGCCTCCCAGGCGTAAATTCAAATACATTCCGGTATTATTTTTCTCTTCCTTTCCGTTTTCTTTTGTTTGATTCAATTGGGTTAATCATTTTTTTCTTTTTTGGTGTCTTGATTTGAAAGATTATTTTGGATTTTGTGTAATTAGATTGCCTGATTTGGATCTGGATCCTGGATGAACAGTGCCTTCTGTTTTCTTTAGGGTTTTATTTATCTACCCAAAAGTTAAGAGTAAATACTGAATGGGTTTTGTTAGACTGTCAGGATTTTACGAAATTGTGGGTGGGCTTCTTGAAAGTTTTTGTTTTTTTTGCATGCTTGCATTGATGTTTAGTTGAGAAAATCTAAATGAACTTTGACTAAAATAACAAGTGCCAATGGCGATTGGTGGTTATTCTAGGACAGTTTGGGCTTGATATTGAAAAGGATTGCAACTTTAGTAGGATTTCAAAGTTATGATTCTCAGTCACCCTAGGACAAGGTGGACTTGGTTTGGTAGGATTTGTAGATTGTGATGTAGATACTTTAACCATCTGACTTTATCTTTGAAGTTTACTTTAATTTGCTTTTTTGCTGCCTTCTAGACTTTTCAGACATTTACTTGGGTATATATTCCATTCTCATTCTATTGGCAAATATATCCAATTCGTTGGTTATCAACTTTTAATATTCTCTGGATCCCCAAAGGTTTTCCCAACTCAGTTAATTACTAGGAACATGACATTGTTGGATCATGTCTGTTACACCATAAATAATCACATTTATAGGGCATTCTAGGATGCAATTAGTACAACAAATTTGCACAAGTTTTACACCTGTAAGCACCATACAGTTGGTTATGTGGAAGCAGTGTAGTTAGATTTGGTCTAGATGATGTGACTTCATGCGAGGTTGGCTTAGTCAATGGTGTTGTATTTTTTGTGACCAAGTCCTTCTGAAGTCCGTGATCTTAAGCCATTAATATTGTTGGATTTTGGCTGTTGACTTTTTTCTTGTCTTTCATGCTTTAGAAAATAACACAGCACAGAACATGGAATAATGTTCAGCTGAAATGAACGAGAGAACACAATCATGCTTATGCTGATCTTCTATGGTTTTCATTTCTCATTGGCTTATGCTTATGACTAGCGCAAACAAAGGGGTAAAGTAGGAGTTTGTGATAAGGACCAGGTAAACTAGAGGAAGCGGTAAACTAATGGTTCAAACTAAGGTGTCAGTGGATGCAGCCGTGGCTTAGTTGGAACTTGAATCTGTCTGAATTGCTAGCATATATGTCAATTAATTTAGGATATTTTCCTTTATTTCAAAGTGCTGGTAGCTCTTGTTAAAGTTAATTGGTGGTTTGCTGTCTTAACTTAATTTATTTGAATGGTAATAAGGACAAAGAATGATTTGATTTTTAGCAGTGCAAATACCTTATTTTGGTAAATACAGTTTTTTTTGCATCAAATCCTCTTTAAATCTAACTATTCTCATGTTCCAAGCTTGTTAGTGAGGCTTTGGAAATAGGAATGCCCCTTGAAGTAATCAACAAAAGGCCTTATTGGGAGATATTTAGAGTCACTTTGTTTGTCCTTCTTGAATGGAATTGCTCCTTATCCTCAAGAATAAAAGAAAGTGAGAAACTTAAGCTTGTAGATGATGACATAGTGTGCCTAGGATTCTTGTGGGTAGTGTTAAAGAAATGCTGTAGAGTTACTAAATCACCAGCCAGTAGCTCACTTTTGTGGGGCTGTCTGTATACTGGCTACTCTCATTGAAATGCGAAGCTGAGGACTTCTGCCTATTTTATTTTGGTTGGTTCAAGACTCAATATTATAGCAAGCCAATAGCCTGCAACTTGTGTTGTCGGTGTAAGTTGAGTGATATTGGATCATTATTGGAATTTCAAGATGTATACATCACATATATTTGCCTGTTTGTACAGAACTGATTCAATTGGAGTTTACTTGCAGGCTTTAAAATCTCCTGGTGCTATGAGTATTTGATAAGATTGAATTGATGGCCTACATCATATGTCTACATTTACAAAACTATGCATCTTGTTATAAACAAGCATTTTGTTCACCATTCTTCAAGCCTTCCAAGCCATGGTGTTTGTGTTGAGGCATGAAGAAGATGGTATTGCCACACATTTTGAAACAGTTGCATGGACAAAATTCTTGTTTAGTTTTCCTTTAATTCTATTAGTTGCACACTATTAAAGCATTGGTGTATTTAATGCACATAAGGAGACTGGTTTTTTATTTTGGTTTTTGGTTGACATGTGAGCCAAGCAGTAACTTAATTGCATTTGCTGTTGATAGAGATACAGTGAAATGAAATTGTGATCGGTGGGCGCAAGATTCAGAGACTGTATTTTTTCGTACATTTTTTTTTAATTGACTGAAGGAAAATACGATATGCTGTCTGGTACCTTGTACTTTCGAACGGTGGCAAATCTGTGTAGAAATAATTTTTTAGGTCCTTGTGTAAACTTGACTTAATGCTAAATGGAATAGTAAAAGCTTTTCCATGTAGGTTTTTATTTATTTATTTATTTTTTTATGGAAGCTTATGGATCTTCGTGTTTGGGACCATGGATTTCCACTGTGTTATGGTGGAATTAGTTGGTTATGAGCTTTTGGAGATTGTGAACAATGTAGCAAACAGACAGGATTGTGTACCTAAAGCCTTTGGGTTCTATGGAAAGAGCAAAACGAAAGAGCGTGCAAAGGAAATTTTTGGGTTATAACTTCACATTTTTGGCGTACTGGACAGTTTTTGCTAATGAAGATGAAATCTTAAATTTCACAGGTTATTGGTTTTATTTATATTCCATATGGTGTATGGTCATTAAAATTGGTAGTTGTTTTTTGAGAGTTATAATTTCTTTCAATTCTAAAATTGGAAATTATATAAATACAGAAATTATCAACGATAATAACGTAAAAAAACTGAACTGCATCTATGAACGATATAAATACCACTGTTGCTTTAGCTTTACTTATGTCAACAGCAAATTTTTATGCTGGCCATAACAAAAAAGGATTGGTTTAGGAGTATCAATACTGTCACATTAATCAATCTTGATCTTATAGTAAGAATAAGAACAAGAGATCTAACGGTTCAAAATTCGTTTATCTTTCTCATTCATTCGATTTTTTGGATGGTATGCTGTTCAGTTGGTGACATTAATAGAGATTTTTGCACTCTAAATATAAAAAAGAGGAGAAAGAGTATGGTGATAGATTAGTGGAGACCGGAGGGAAAGAGAACTTAACGAGTATACTGTTAAGTGGCAGATGGTAGTTTAGCAAAAATTGATGGAAGGTTTAATTCCTACCAGAAATTAGTATGATGGATCCAAAATGAGTTGTTTTAAAATTTAGGGATTGATATTCAAATGGGTCCTAATTCAGGAGATATTGGTACGTGTTGCTTTAGACAATTGTTTGGTGGTGGTAGTTAAGTGGCAAACAGTAGTTTACACTTTACATATAAAGACATTATTTTGTTCTTATTAACTAAGCTTATTGTCAGTTATTTTGGCTGTTTGACAATGCAGGTTGATTTGCTAGAGAAACAGAAAAAAGAGGCTGAAGAACAAGAGGCCTTAGAAAAGGCTGATGATGAATTAAGACTGAGTGATACTGACCCTAATGCTGCAGAACCAGTTTCCAAGAGTGATAGTGCAGATGAAAAACCTGACATCAATGATGTACCCATGGAAGAAAATCAGGTTAATGGTTTATGAATTTCTATTCTTATTTACCATCCGTATAGGTTTATCTTGCTTGAAAAGTCCATATGGCCTACTTCGACACTTACAATTCACTTCTTAGCTTTGGAATGGCAAGTTTCCACATCTAACTTTGGCTTGAACAACTTCAATCTCAGGATGATAATCAAGTGGTGCGACAGGATCTGAATGAAAGCACTTTGGATTTGAGTTTAGGCCTGGTCTCTTGATGGTTACTTTGATTCAAAAGCCGGTCTCTCCAGAGATGGGCGGTTTAAAAGAGTGCAATCAAGTAGTGTTGGTACATTGCGGAATCCCTTCTGACATATACTGTTTACGAAAATGGTCTATTTGATTGATGCAAGTTCGGAGATCCAATTTTCCCTATGATCAATTTGTCCGGTAGTTACTGAGGGCAAGTGTGTGATTGGCAAATGCTTGCTTGTACTTTTAGTCTCATTTTGAAGCTCTCTACATAGCTGATTGCAACTTGTACCAGTTACGACATCTATTTTTCAATTATTGAACAATTGATTTTTTTCCCCCGTTTTTGTTCCTTTTTCTGATTTTCTTGAAATGCCATTTGCGACGGTTTTGTATTCCAAAAGGCAAAATGTTAGTTGGTTGGATCTTTTGTTGTAATCATAATTAATGTGACATGTTAGGATTCATCTATGAACCAGGTGGTGTCTGGTTTCTAGACCAACAACCATGAATTTCGTCCTGGTAACTACTTGGTAAGATTTGGATTGATGCAGGCAGGACTGATGTGCTCGCAGGTTGTCTACATTTAAGAGAAACCTACTGATGGATTGATGAATCAAGGCATGAGCCTTTGACAACAGGGAAGAGTGCTCCTTATTGGCTGGAGATTCTTCTATGCTTCTAATCCTTTATGTTCTGAATCTCAATTAAATTCGAAAAAAAATAAAATAAAACGACGGATTAAATTATTAGCATGCATTGAATCATGTTTATGTTTATTTAAAGAAGACGACAAAACATGAAAGGAAATTTGACAGGATTCCAATCCATTCTTCGCTCCAGGGGCACTAGAATTGACCTATTGAAGAGCAATTTACAAGGAAAAATTTTACAGTGACTCAAACTATTAAGAACTGCAAATTTTTCACTCAACTTGTGGTTCATCGTGGCTTTAAAAGCACAACAATCTTCATCCACTTACAAATTGCCATATTCAAATCATAACTAAACCATCCAAAAAGCCTTGCAAGAAGGAACAGTTGGTTCATTAAAGGAGGATCAAAGAGAACAGTAGATTTTCGTCATTATTCCTTTGCAACAGCAGCTTCGGCCTCAGAAAAGTAATCGTGCCTGGAGATGTAGAAAAAGTGGTTAAAAATCTGTGACAGTAACACCATATTTAATGTTGAAGAATGAGGTCAAGAGTAAAGCAAGAGAATAACAGACGATTCTTATTTGATCAACATATAGAAAAGGACAGTCTGTAGCAATATCGGAATTAAAGAGAGGAGGTATCCTATCTTTCTATTACCAACAACTATTGATACTACCAAAATTCCACATGAAAACAGGTAAAAATAACTCAAACAAAACCTACTGTATTTTGCGACTGAGTTGGTAGATGCCTGTTGCAGCCATTGCAACATTAACACTAAATAGATTCCAATTTTTCTGCAATATGGAGCATAGGAAAAAATCAAAATCAAAATCAACTGCAATTTCCATTCAACATAATATCATACAAACACCCATGTAAGGAACCGCACTGTGAATTTGTTACGTGCAGAGCTCCAATGGACGGGCCAATAACAGTGTTCCACATGGGAGTAAAAAAATTCTTGAGAATTTAGTGTCCGATTATCAAGGCTTCCATTTTTTCTCAATTGCAATTTCTTCTCTTCTATTTTTCTTAATCATCCATATCAGTATGAGCAATGCAAAAACCAAGCTAAGATGCTGTTTGTACTCTTACTGGTGTGGAATTATAATGAAACTGAAAAGATAGATTGAGGACAAAACACGAGGTAGGGCATTTGTATCCCAAATGTCTGTAAAGAGTATCCAGGAGAAAAAAAGAAAGTAGAATTTCTTTTCCTTGATATGATACTGAGAAGCAAGGAAGGAGTACAAGGAAAAATACACCCTGCCCTTTTATTTTCCATTTCCCTTCTCTGTGTTAGTTTGGCATCAAAGCATGCAACTATGACAGTGTGTACACACTATTCCTTGTTATTTGTTTCTGTTTCTTTCTTTCCAAGTAGCAGATTCCATTGCAAACACAGGACTTTGATCAAAATATGGAAATGAAAAATTAACAACTGCTAACTATTTTCAATTTCAAAGCACATAATGTGGACAAGCGTGCTATTATTCTTAGAAGCAAACTAGAATGGTGTGATCCAGTGCCTTGTCCAACTTATCTCTCATTTTCCAAACGTTGATGGAAATTTACTCATCAATCCTAATCAAGTTCTAGCTACTAGTCACTGAATAATAACACATTTTTCATTGACGTTTTGGAGGAAGGTTCCCATGTTTTTTTAACAAGTAACACATAGGATCACTAAAAGGTAGCCTATCCATCATTCCACAGCACCAACTCAATCAAAATGACAGAATAAAATTCAACTTTTTCTAATGAAAGCTTCTTCAAGTTTATCTCATGTAAGAGCAAATACATATAATTAACATATCAACCAACTAATCAATCAATTCCCTAGTTTTTGGAATACCCTCCATCAAGACAATAAAGACGGACTACGAATCATGGCTACAAAACAGTAAGCACTGGTAACTAGTATACACTTCTTTTAGTACCCTATCAAAATTCATATTGAACTCATCATCTTACACTTGAAATTATCAACTAGCCCATTTAAACAGTTTTGATCTAAATCTAAACTACCATTGCTGGGAACACCCAACATGCAAATCAAACACGTAAAGACAGGCATATGTTAAAAAATGGAAGAAGAAGATGAAATGATTCTCATACTCACTGGAGTAATTACAGTGCTGTAGCGTGACCATATAACTCCAGTACAAGTAACCGCTGGAAACCATAAGAAAAATGTGAAGAATGCCATATTATCCATTTAGTATGAAGTAAGAGAAGAATGACTTGCTCTCAATGTCGTGCAAGATGATATGCATAGCAGGGAGAGACGGTTTGCCTACACTAAAAGGTACAATCATTCAAGATGCGGGCATGGATGAAACATAGAAGAATGCAGCAGCGATGATTAGGAAAAAGTGCATAATTGGATAGAGGTAAGTAAGATACCTATTTGCTGAGGATAGGAAAGTTTCTCAGGAGGTTTAGCAAAGTCAGCAATATTAGCAATGCTGATACCCCATTTAAAAGTGGGTGCCCAAAAGTGAACTGCAAAATGAAAATTGAACAATATCTTCAATTACATCTAAATTCTTTTTCTCTAAGAATAATAATTATAAAAAAAAAAATTCTCTTTGCTATATATATATATATATATATATATGAACTTTTGCTTGCATTGTATTATTCAGTCTACGCACCGGAATTGATTACGTTCGAGATTATGTAGGATTATACACGAAAGATCCTTCGTTTTTTTTGCTCTCTTTAACCCTATGTCTCTTATATATATATAATAGTGATTATTAGATTCATTCTACATCTAAATTCTCACTCTTTAAATATATAAAATATGACGATCAATAATTGGTTGAAATTCAGTTCAATATTTAAAAAAAAAAATTGAAAAATAGAAAATTGAAACGTTTATCGTGACGAATACATAAATCTGAGACGATCTAATCGCAGCGAAAAAGAAAAGATCCATAACAGCAAAGATTAGGAAAGCAAAACTAACTGGTTTTGGGACCGGCTGGGTGATTCCACAAAGCTTGTAGCTTCGAAGTCGCCATCGATCAATCAGTCAATCACCAAACAACCAAAGAAGAAGACGTGAAGAGAGGGAGGAAACAAAAGATTCCGTATCTCTGGCCTTTTACCTGCTGCATTTCAGTAGCTTTTTACGCTCCTGCTCCTGGCCCATATCGGCTGCGCCCACTAACCAATCATTTCATGCCATCTGTCTACACGTGGACCATCCACGCCTCGCTTCAATTGTTTTAATAAATTAAAAATTAATCCCTCTAGTTACAAAAAAAAAAAAAAAGAATCAATTAGTTCCCTTTGTTTAAAAATAATTACTAAATTCTTTTATGTATATATAGTTTTATAAGTTAATAATTTTGATTCGGTTTCAATTTATTTAAATTTTTTATTTAAAAAATTTAGAAGAATTTATGAGAAAAAATATTTTAAAATAAAATAATTTTAAATTAAACTTAGTCAATATTATTTTACTAAATAAATAATTTTTTTTTAAAGAAAAAAACTAATTGATTCTTTTCTCAAAATTAGAAAAACAACTAATGTATAATTTACTCCCAACATAGCAATAAATTTTTAATTTCAATTACGCTGTGACCTGACCTTGTTTATTCATGTCCAAAAGGAAATCAATTAATTTTATTATATTTATTTATTACGCTGTGTTCTATGGACTGCGCAATGAATAATACCACATTTATCATTTACTTTTTGAAGGAAGGTTCCTCATGTTTTTCAAATGAGTAACTCATAGGTAGCCTATCCATCATTCCACAGCACCAAATCAATCAAAATTAGAATAAAGTTTAATTAACCTTTTCAGTTGAAATGAAAGCTTCTTTTTTAAAGCTCATGACAATGTCATGTATGAGAAAAATGCATATGATTAACATGTCAACCAAGTAATCAATTAATTCTCTAGTGTTTGCAATGCCCTCCATCAAGACAATCTGGGCAGACTAAAAATCACAGGCTATATGCATGACAGTAACCACTGCTAAATAGTTAGCATTTTTTCTAGCATGCAACCAAAATTCAGTTGAACTCATCCTCTAACAGTTAAAATCATCAACTAGCCATGTAAACTGTTCGGATCCGAATCTAAACTATTGTTGCTAGGAACAGGCAACATACAAGTCAAACAATGTAAATACAAGCATAAGTAAAAGAAAACAAAAGAAAAAACGAACATCAAATGATACTTACCGGTATAATTACAGTGCTGTAGCGTGTCCATATAAGTCCAGTACACATAACCGCTGGAAACCATATGACAAGAGCAAGAGTAAGTAGAAGAATACAACATTATCAATATGGTATGTCGAGTGCTCAAAGAAGTAACAAAAGAATGGCTTTCCTCTCAATGTTGGGCAAGATCATGTTCATGGGAGGGAGAGACAAGTATTGGCTCGCCCACGCTACATGCTACATGTATCTGAGCAAAATTCTAAAAATCATTTCGCTGTTCAGCTAAAGGGACTTCATTAGTTGGACCATTTCTCTTTCTCTGTATATAATCCTAAGTATATACACAGCTGAATTGCCAAATTCATAACAAGCTAATAGTAATTCATAATTCAGTCGCTGTAGTATGAGTATCCATCCCATACCTCCTAGATTCATTGTACATCAAAATTCACTAAGGCCTAAGACATTCGAATGGATATGCTCTACAACTTAATTAATAATAAATCCAATCAATTAAGCAGCAGCAACTAGCAAGTTTTTTTATTCAGAAATAATGAGAGTAAAAAGAAAGAAAAAGAAAGGGGAGAAAACTAACCGGTTTTGGGACCCGCAGGTTGATTCCAGAAAGCTTGTAGCTTTGAAGAAGCCATCCATCAATCAATCAATCACTTACTTCCCCCAATACTATTTATTATTTTCTCTCTCTCTCCTCTGTTTGTTTGTATTTTGTAATGTGATGTTTGGTGGAGGAAAGAAAGGAGAAGAGAGGAAAGGTATTCCAGCATTGGCTGCCTGTTCAATGGCCTACGCATATCTGCGGGACGACTCGCCCAAGATCTTTTCCTTTCTAATGTGATGTTTGGTTAGGGTTTTGGAGGTAGCAGGAGGAGTCATGGATGAACTTGCAATTCTAACTGGTCCTCGAAAAGGATTAATCGACAATCATTGCCGTGACTTCATGCAAATGGTCAAGGCAAATAGGCAGTGCTTGTGGACCGTGCACTAGTAAGTACATGGATTGATGAATTGCGTTCCGTGACGTTCCAGATGGAAAGATCCTCCCCTAGTCCCCTCCTGTTCTTTAACAGTTCAACTAGAATGGCAGAAACATGCAAATTAAAGCTGTATATAGACGATGAGTAGACCGTAGAGTCTCGATCCTTTCCCTCCTCCCGCATGCATGCCTCTTCTTCCGTTCCTCCTTATTAAGCATCGAAGTAAGCTCCTCGCACCATAGCCTCCTCATCCGTGGCGCTTTCTTGATCTCAGCCTGATCTCCACTCTCCAGTCGGCAGTCTCCACGGCGGTGGAAAATGGAGCAAAGCTTTGGACCCGTAAATGGTGCAACGCTTTGTGCTTCAGCTAAGTTGTGGTGCTGCTTCTGTTGATGTTTGTGGAAAGTATAGTGGGCCGTAGGTTTTCTTTTCGTACAATATAATTCAATGCAATACTGGACCCAAGGCCCAAAATGAAAACAACTTCTAATCAACACTAAACCTAATTCGTTGAATATGTAATGGGCCTACGCTGGATTCAGATAAGCAAACGGGATTCATTCCTCTCTCTCCCTCATCTCTCTCTCTCTAGCCTCTAGGCATTGTTATTGGAATTGAAACACACACACTGACTCTGCCTCTGCCTCGCAGGCTGTTGTCACTGCTGCGACCTGCAACTCCAAATAACAGGTGCTTCTTTCAATTTTTGTTCCGTCTTAATCAAATTCGCTATATTTCGTTTGCATGCTATAAAATTTATTTATTGATGATCATGATATACAGATCTCTTAGCTTCAAATTTTGTTTTTTTCTTCTAAATAATAATACTTCTGATTTTGTTTTGCCCGAGAATCTCTGTTCTTTGTATGTTTTCCGTGGCTCTTTTTTTTTTATTGAATTTGTTTGTGCTTAAATTTTTTAGTTTAATTAATGGATAAATTAATCGGGTTTAGCTCTGAGTGAGTGAACTCAAAATATCTCTGTCTCTGTATTTCTAGCAAGTCCTTAGATTAGACTAGATTCGATATGGCGTCAGCTGGTACCTCGAGAGGCGAAATCCTTTATCTGTATCGCTCTCTTCTACGCACAGCCCGTCAGTTCTGCGATTACAACATCAGAGAGTACACTAAACGACGCACCATCGACGCCTTCCGTCAAAACCAAAACCTAACCGACCCGTCGGCCATCTCTGCCGCCTACTCCGATGGTAAGGCTCAGCTTGATGTCGCTAAACGACAGGCCATTGTTTACTCTCTCTATGCCCCGAAAATCAAGAGCGTCATGGAGGCCACCAATTCTCGCTGATACTTCTGTTTAAAGATGGGTTACTTTTGTAATTGGAGGAATCAATTTTGATTTTAATTGAAATAATTCTGCTGTTGTAAAACTTGTGAATTTGGGAATTTTCATGTTGGTTATGTCTTTGTGCTACTAAACATAGAATCTCGATTCAAGTTAACCATGCTTTGTGATTGTTAATTAATAGTACTACCTTAGTTATTCATCGCTTATAAGGCTTAATTTGTTATTTGTGTACCACCTCACAAAATACGCCTAGCCAATGTCCTTTTTTGAAGTCTCCTCCTCTTTCTACTCTAGAGTCGAGTCTAAGAGGAGGAACAGATAGAGAAGTGAGTAGTAGATTATCAGAACAGGAATGGATTCGCAGACGCAAAACACATCTTTGCAGCGCCTTCAAAATGTCGAAAAGGTAATTATTTTATTTCTTTAATTAATTCAACTATTTGAAATCTCTTTAGCAAATATTAGTTATTTATTTTGGATGGATGGATGGATGGATGGGGAAACAGACAGTGGTTAGGGTTTTGGAGGTAGCAGGAGGAGTCATGGATGAACTTGCACTTTCAACTGGTCCTCGAAAAGAATTAATCAACAATCATTGTCGTGACTTCATGCAAATGATCAAGGTCAAACTCCTCTCTCTTAATTTCTTGTGCTGTTGTCCTCTTTTTAGATTATTTTCTTCAATTTTTCCTTTTAATTCTCAGGATATCCAGTTCACATTGAGGAATGAAATAAAAAGTGCATGCGAGTACCGTCCCTTCGAGAAGAGTGACTATGCTTGTAGAATCTCTAATGAAATCTGTCTGGACAAATTGGAACACATTCTTTCTCAGTTGGATCATATCAACCAAACTATTATTCCTCGATACCATCAAGCTGCTGCTGATGCCGATGTCGATGCTTCAACTGTTTCTACTTCCTCTCCAATGGATTTCTAGGTACTCACTCACTATAGATTTCTCACCTCTACTTGCTTTATTCTTGCTTCTTTTTTTCTGCTCAAGTTATGATATAATTTTAATTTGCAGGGTTGGAGAGCAGATTCTACTTTTCAGAGTTTAGAATTGCACTAGCATTTTGAATATCTGTAAGCCTATTATGCATATGACTATGCTGATTGTTTCTTGATCAGTGGGGTCTCACTATTATCAAACAATCATCCTTGTTTTTCTTACTGCTACCTTATCTAACCAATCATGTAACCTCTTGTTTGAACTTTGTTCATCTATCCAGACCGTTTTTAATTCCAAGTTCTCATCTTAGACACATGTGCCAGCTCCTTGAAATACTAATGAGCTTTCTTCACACATTGTTTGGGTGTAGTCAGATATCTATCTTACCTATTCCTCTTCTAATGATTGATCTGTTGAGTTGCCTAGATTTTACAAGCTCACCTTTTTGTTTCAGTTATTTTGGTTCTCCATTTGAACATAAGAATCATTTGTTTATACAAATAGCTGAAGAGTGTAAATTAACTAACCATGATTCTCATTCAACTATTCGTCTCTCAATGTTCTTTAATAGTCCATGTGGTACAAGTCACTACAAGCCTAGAACTATAGGACTCCCCCTGCATTGAGATGTACTTCCAGTTAACGGTGAGGTTGCTGTGAACTTAGCATGGAGGATCGAAATGCAGATGGTAAAACCTTTTGGGTTGCAGTTATTGCTCGGCAAGAAATATCTTTAGGGCCTTATTGCAGCAGCTGCAGATTATTATGGGGCTAGCTGGAGATTGTGGTGTATGGTTTTGAGAAAATAAAAGGCTAGTATTTAGTGAGCCAAGTCCTGTAACCATCCAAGAACTTAAAATCAATTATCTAATTTAATGGTACGTAGGTACGGAACCATCTTCATAGTGTTAGTCATCCAGCCTATCTTTCTTCATTTGAAGGCTTAATTAATCTCAATCATTGCAAAAACAATCTCAGACAAACTATAATGCTTAAGTTGCCTAATGCCCGATTGTATCTTAACAATATCCAAATTGCAAACTCGATGGTTACTCTGGACTTCAAAACAAAACAGGGAAAAGGAGCCTTTCATCGTCGGCTAGAGGACCAAGCTCAAGCATTGCTTCTTTGATGCAAAAAGGGACATCATGCATTTCACCCTCTCTTGCCTCTATCTTGCATTTAAGTTCCAAATTCCATTGCTTCTCCGCATGTGACCTTCGCCTAGCAATTATGATAGATCAAGAAACTCGCTCGAGTATTCTTCTAGATTAAGTATAGTTTATATATATATATATATATATATATATTGAAACGGAATAGTACAGAAAAATTTACGTTGATGTTATTAAACTATACCCATAAAAATGTAAAATAATAAATATGTTGAGGAAAATGGTTAACGAATGGAACGACAGCCATTCGGTTTGGGTTTTAGGCCTAAAACAAAAATGTAGAAGTGGGGTCACCATGGAAGACCAAAAACAATGCATCAACTTCTGCTCACACGGCCAATCGCAATCTTTTCATTAGCCCTCCTCTTGAGCACCACTATATTCTTCATACCGGTTTTTTTGCACCCTAAAAACCCTTATTCTTCTTCTTCTTCTCCTTCTCAAGAGCAGCAATCAATGGCTGCTGCTCGTAGCTTTGTACTATGGCTTCATGGATTGGGTGACTCAGGCCCTGCCAATGAGCCCATCAAGACTCTCTTTACTGCTCCTGAATTTCGTACCACCAAATGGTCTTTCCCTTCTGCTCCTATTTCCCCTGTCTCCTGCAACTGTAATCCCCACCTACCATTTCCTTACATACATGATCATCATGCTTCTCTTTTTGTTGTTGTCTCTAATGCTCTTGTTCGTTTTAGTGCCACTAGTTATAGAATTTATGCTAAATTTAGTTTGAGCGCCTCTGGTTTTCATTTTTTCTTGTTTTAATTCAGTGAATATTGGGTTTTGTTGTTTTCTCTAATTCATTTCAGTGCCATTTTGTTGTAGAGTTTAGAGTTAATTTAGTTTGAGGGTGGTTTGGTTTTTATGAATCTTTGTTTAGGGTTCTCAATGAACTTTCTAGTTGCATTGGCATTTGTTGGTATTGGTGGGATTGATTTGTTCTTTCTCTTTGATTGATCTCTCTTTGTGAATCTGTTGAAAATATTTTCATTGGGCTCCATCTGTAGCAGCTGATAGCGTTTGTATTTTCTAGACTGATAATGGCAGAGAATCAAGTGGTCAATTGCATTTCGATGAGAATGAATTTGGATTAATGTTGTGAACTTGTGATGTAGGGTATGTTAGCATATTGAATATTAGTTGTGAAGATGGAATTTTGATGAGGATTGTCTAGGAGTGAAGTTAAAAGGTTGGAACTTTGATGTCTTTTAGTCAATTTATGGCTGTTATTTTGGTGGTAAGGAAGAGAGACCATAAAATGAAGCTAACAAGGAGAGTAAGTGAGAAAGGAGGTTGCATACAACATTGAATCAGCTGATAGACTGCTTTGATTTACCTGAAACAAACCAAGACAGTTCGCAAAGGCATTCTAGCAATATCACTTTGTGTGGTACTTGCTGTTGTTCTTTCTTTTGTTTTGTCTTTACACTGTTTTGTCACGATTCGTCTGTTTTATGATAGTTTATGCCAATTTTATGGCTTATCACTTTTGGGTATTGCTTTATTTTGTTTAGTTTCACTTATGCTTTACCTTATATTTATGTGAGTGTTTGTTATTTTTCTAACGATCTTATTAATTTCAGTGCCTTTAATTAAAGAGTAACCTTTTCATTTAATTTGGGATCATTGAGGTCGTGATGTGTTCGATTCAGTAAATCTCTGACTGGTCATCTGAATGAATTTTCTAGTTAGACAAGTCAGCCGTTGTTGTGGATGTAGTTGAGGATGGCTGTTGCATTGTTTGTCGAAATGGTATGACGGATTATGGAGGAGAACTATGTGATCAATCACTTCTGAATTGGTGTTGTCGTTGTTTGTTACCAATGCTTAAACTCTGTTTGTTATCAATCGCTTATCAATTAGGAATGACATTAGAGTGAATGGTGCAATATACAAAATGTTAGAATATTGATTCATTAGGATGTTGGAATTTGGTGGGGATTTGACAAGGACGAGAAGTGAAAAGGCTGGAAATTCCATGTCTTTTATCGACTTATTTGTATGTTGTTATTTTAATGGTATCAATAAAGAGCATAAATTGAGGCTTACAAGAAGAGTTAGTTGAAAAAGATATCATTGAGACGCCTTTTTTAGTTTTGGTACTCTGGAGATTACATAGAAAATTGGATCAGATAGGTTGCTGTGATTGATTACTTTAGTGGCACATTTTATTAAGGGGTCAAGAATACTGTAGTGTGGTACTTTCTGTATGTCTTTTCTTTTTGTTGCTCTGTTTTTTATCTTTTTCATAAATTGTTCAGACAATTAGGTGGATTATCACTCTTAAATTTTGATGTATTTGACCTTCCTTCATCGTTTTTCGTCACTTTAATCTCCAGTTTATGATCCCCTTTTTGTTTTTTGGGTTGGAACAGGTTTTAAGATAGCAATCATCCATGTGGTTTATTTATTATAGAGTTTCAGACCATATTTATTTTCCAAAGTTCCTTCATTTGGGCATGTTCTTCTGGTTGCTTAATGGATCCTTTTCCCCCTTCTCTTCTAAATTTTTAAGTTCTAGTCTTATATACTAATAGCTTTTGAGTGAGCTCATTTTGTGTATGCAACCTTACAAGTTTTTCATTTTAGCTGCAACATATTATCAAATTTTGTTCTTCATGCAATCCATTGCTTCACTAATTAGTTTGTGCCTTGTCAGATGGTGCTAAAATGCCATCATGGTTTGACATCCATGAGATTCCTGTTACAGCTGTAAGTAAAGTATTCTTACATCTTTTCTGATTGTTCTTTTCTGAATTTCAGACCCCTTGATCCCAATTCATCTATTGCTATCTGATAAGAAGCAAGGCACAAAGAACAGAATGCAAGCACACAACACCAAAGAAGGGGAAATACATGAGCACACATTTATTGAATTAAAAAAAATGTTAACAGCAATTTGAGAGGCTGTATCTCTCCCTGACAAGAATGTCACCCAAATTATACCCAAAAATGATGCCCCCGCTTTTCCCTCGTCGGTCCCCATATATAGTCTCCCCCTCCCTATTTTCTTTCCAACAACCTCACACCCAGGACCACCCCTTTTCTAGAATCTGACAGGTTGTTAGCAATTCTCTCAATTCCAAAACTGACCCCATATATAGTAACCAACCAACACTAAGAATAACAAGAACACAAATAGGTAACGGTTTAGTGTAGCCCACAGCTACTGCCCTTCTTCTTTGTCCTTCAAATGCAGCCCAGCTTCCTTGTCCTTCAGCCCATCTTCCTTTAGTTTTGATCCTCTCTTCCCTTTCCTCTTGTAGACCAATCTGATAGCAGGCCTATCACTATCTCATCACATTAAGCTATTGCATTGGAACTTTTTACTTTGCTAGAAATAATTAAATAAATGGTGTTTACGAGGGATTTGTTGTTAATTCCTGTGGGTGTTCCCCCCCCCCCCCCCCCAAACCAATGCCTGCAAATTTTTAAGCAGGGAAGGAAAATGTGTTTTCCAGCTATTGTTCTTCTTCTTTGGCAGCACTAGGCAACTTCTTCTTTCATATAGCAATTTCAAATATAAGTTGTATATTCTTGCTGCATGGTGTTTCTGCATTAACTTTTGATTGTTCAGAAGCCATAATTATCTTAACCTGCTTATATAGAAAGGACTGACCTATGATCTTTTGATATTCTAGCAGTTACATCGAATGATTGCCCTTTATTAGCGCCTATTATATTGCTGGTTTCTTTGTTTGTTTCAGTTTTAAAATACCTAATTCTGAGTTGGCATAATACACTCACAGAACACCTGACTGGGGAATAAGTTTTGCAAGCCTTATGCAACGACGTGTCATAAAAAAACATATATAGTTTATTCAACCATTGTTGTTTTTTTTTTCCCTTACTCAATTCTTGAGATGATCCACCAGTATTTTCCTCAAATATCCAAGATGAAAATGTCGGTCGCTTTTGATGCCTTAATGGATAAGATGCAGATATTCTTGTGTTGTAGTTAAATTTGTTCTTTTAATATACTTCAGGATTCTCCAAAAGATGAAAGCGGTTTGTTGAAAGCTGTTCGGCATGTGCATACAATGATAGACAAGGAAATAGCTGCTGGGATAAATCCTGAGAATATATTTGTATGTGGGTTTAGCCAAGGAGGTCTCTTTCTCTCCCTCATACCTTCACAACTTTGAAAACTGATCTTGGTTTTTTGTTTTGGGGCTTTCAGATTCTAACAACTTCTTACAGGTGCCTTGACCTTGAGTAGTGTTCTGCTGTATCCAAAAACTCTAGGAGGTGGCGCGGTATTCAGTGGATGGGTTCCCTTTAATTCTTCTATCATGGAACAGATTTCACCAGATGCAAAGAGGGTACTTCCAACTAAAAATACAACTGCCGTCCAATCTCAGAGTTGGAACATGCTGTTAATTCCCCAGAATTCTATTCTAATATAGTTTCCCCTACTGTAATCACGTTTCTGGGATAGCCAGCTACCTTGATCTTTGTAGTTGTAACCGTTAATCAGTAGCCATTTGGTTTACTTGTAATCAGGAATTTCACTTCTTGGATTTCATGAGATTGATCCATGGTTTAACTCTGTGCAGACACCTATTCTGTGGTTGCACGGAATGGCCGATCCAACAGTATTGTTTGAAGCTGGACAAGCTGGCCCCCTTTCCTTGAACAAGCTGGTATAAGCTGTGAGTTTAAGGTGATATATCTTGATCTCTCTCAATTTTATTTATTTATTTATTTATTATTATTATTATTTTGTTTGTTATCTTTCAAACCTATGAAAACATTGGTTGTCTTTAATTGTGCAGGCTTATCCTGGTCTTGGTCATTCAATAAACAACAAGGAGTTGCAATACCTGGAATCATGGATCAAGACTCGTCTGCCAAGTTCTTCATAGAGTTTTGGGTACTGTTGAACTTGAATTAGATGATTGTCATCGGTCTAGGTCCTATAGTAGAAGTCTGGCACATACATGGGGGAAACAAATCTTCAGACATTAAGCATGCATGTTGTCATAAAATGACTCCAGTGTCAACCAGTCGACTGCTTAAATATTTTGGTCATTGTCATGTACTGATAGTGGATTTTGTACCTCTTCCCCCGACAATTGGGTTACAAGATCATAAAATAAAATGGCAACGTCTTATGCTTTACCCACTTCATGGGAACGCAAGTTGATGGCTTGAATTGAATCGTGCTCCCAATTACTGAACTGTAGTAAAACTATTCTGGTCGGGATGGACGTACATGGAAGGCAAGAGGAAATTGCTAAGCTCGCGGTCAAAACTGATATGCCAGAAGACCGGTAATGCAAAAACGCGAAGGACACAAGAAAATAAGTATGAATGTGCTTATCTTCCAACACTTGGTTGTGAACAAATTTCATGGAAGTATAAGTGTGGCCAGATGGTTATTATGACCAAATCAACCATCAAAAAATTTGCCAACATCATCAATCTTTCAAAAAGGTGAAAGCCCAGTTGCGTTAAAAGTTTAAAATAGGCCTAATTTGATCATGAATCCCACGACAACCCTTCAATTGAAAGTGGTTAGCGAAGGGGGACATTTTAGTGACTAGACAGCGAACCATATGAACAGGTCCCATCACATCAGTACTTTGGTTAGCTTTCTGTCATATGAGTACCGCAGACTGTACCTTAACCTGACAAATATAGCACTGCCCACACTCTAACTTGTTCTCCTCATGTCCCTCCAAAATTATGTCACCAACCCCTATGCTATCAAAGTGCGAGACTGCTTGACATTTGCCACACGGCACATACTCTCTCTCACATATAACCTTCCTCGAGCAAACTTTCAAACTTTCAAAGTCTTTTAACTTCCAGTCTTTGCCTCTGTTAGATAGCCTCTCTCTCTCTCTCTCTCTCCTCTCTCTCCCCCACAGGACCACAGCATCCATTCTATCCAGGGTATCAACTATGAAGAAGCTATACCGTAAAGGCACGGTGCATCCATCGCCACCAATAATATCAGACCACCTGTCCTTTCTTCCGGCCACCATCCTCACCCTCACAGCAGCTCTTTCTCCAGAGGACAGAGAGGTCTTGGCCTATCTCATCTCCTGCTCGAGCAATAACAATAACTTCTACATCAACTGGTCTAATATTAATCGCCGCAAAAGTAGTTCTCATCAAAAGACAACTTCTTACACCAAGAACAGCAGCAGCAATAATGACCACCCTCCTATGTTCAACTGTGACTGCTTTAGGTGTTACATGAGTTATTGGATTAGATGGGACTCCTCTCCTAATCGGCAGCTCATTCATGAGATTATTGATGCTTTTGAGGATTGGTTGTTGAAACAAGGTAAGAATAGTAGTATTACTAATGCCAGTGGTAACAAGAACAGGAAAGACAGGAAAAGGAAGGGAAATAATCAAGGGTCTGGTGACTTGATCGCGAAGCAGGAGTTGAGAATGAAGGACAAGCTGGATGACTCTGATTCAGTGGATGAAAATAGCAGTGGTTGTGGCGGGAGTGAAGTTGGTGGCGGTGAAGAGGAAGGTGCAGAGAAAGGGTCTGTGAGGAGGTTTGTGAGCTTCATTGGGGAGAGGATCTGGGGTGTTTTAGGTTAGTGAACTGGATGAAACCAGAAAAAAAGAAAGAGCTGGTGGGTTTGATTTGTTGTAGAACCTGCAAGCCGCTTTTCTGGTATTTCACTATAATATCATAAAGGGAATTAAGGTCTTTCTTCTTCTTGTTTTCCTTGTTTTAATTTTCAGTCTTTTTTGTTTTTTTTTTAAAGTTAGTGTAAAAAATATGTTAGCTTACTTCCGAATCATCCTCAATCTTGATGTTTTTTCTACCAGCAGATTATATACTACGTCTTTAGCTAGCTAGCTTTCTGGTAGTATATACATACATACATCGCCTGATGATTTACTTGTTCAAGTAAGGTGGTTGTCCTCTTTTTTACCACTGGTAATTTTTGTTAATTAATGCGTAATATTAATCTTTGAGTTCGCTGCTTCAATCAATCAAGAAGTTGGCTGTCCTCTTTTTTATTTTTTTATTCTTTTACCATGACTCTTAGAGATCTGTTTCTGCCAATATTGGTATGCAAATCCAGGAAACCAAGTTATAGATTTTACCTACCTAAGGACCAAAAGCATCACATCCCACAATCAGTGAAGAGAGGAGCTTTTCATAGGCAGCTGCTAGCTAGGCGGAGTGAGCGGTGGTGTTGGTGGTGGGAATGTCATGGAATAGATAGAGGTGTCATCGTAGTCGAGGTCGGCGAAAGCAAGCCATAAGAAAAAATAATGCTTCGATTAAAGCAAAGGGGAATGCGTGGTCTTTAATGGCAGTGATGCCTTGAATGGATGGATCTCTTAAAAAAAGAGAGAGATCAGGCCACCCTAATCCACTATGCATGTCACCACTCCCGTCCAAACCTCTTTTCTTTGTTCCCTATGGCCTATGTCCATTGGCATTTATTCTTCTTCGTCATACTAACCCTACATCCAAGAAAATATAGTATTCGGTGGTGTTCCTTTTTCATAAAGTAGTATTCTTTTTTGGAATGGCATTTCATATAAAATCTGAAAACTATCCAAAACATGACAAAGTAAATTGTGTTTTTTTTTCAGCTTAGATTGTACTATGATACTGTAGTTAAGAAGTATTGTTGGTAATGGAAAGTTAGAAAGTTAAGTGAAGTTAGTACTTCCTTAATGGTTAGGTTTAGTGACGTCAATGTCATTAAGTTTGTTTGATTACAAATCGTTTCGTCTTTGAGCTAACTTAATCGCAATGGCATGTAGCTAGTTTAGATTACATGCATGTTGATGCTGATAATTGGCGTTTAGCGGCAAGTTAGGTTCCTCAGTTGCAACTTTTAGTAATGCTTTCTTGTGAAGCACCACTCTCCATCAAAATTGGTGCCCTTTCGCATACGATGATGACTAGGTCCATGCTTTTAAAAGGAAAAAAACAAGCTCCCTGGAAAAGAAAATACAAGGAGAAAAGATGCGTGCATGCCAAAGTTTAATCCTTTCCATTATCGATAGTCGACACTGCTTTTTTATCTTGTTTTGAGTAAAGGAGAGATCAAAAGGATATTGGATGCCATATAAACATACCTAACCATCCTTTTCCACTACGAACTATTATTGTAAGCATATATTTCACACCGCATTTGATATTTTTGCTAGGTGGGGGAATCTTGTATTGTATCTTGATAGACCAGTGAGCAACTAACAACTGAAAAACATTGTTGGATTGTAATGCAAAGAAATTGTATTGATTGATTTCATGGGTCATGGACTTGGTCAGAAGTCAATTTCAATATTCAGTTCCCAGAAATGGTCATCAAGGGCTTTTGTGTAATTGGGTCAAAAAGGTGGAGGGACAGTATCATTTTTGTTGGTGATTTTTGCACCCTCCGTCTCCATCTCCAATTAATCGAGAGTATCTTTGCAATGCGAATCTCTACCTTGCTGTCTACTTTGTATTTGCCCAATGAGATACAGAAACGAAGGGACACCTAGCCCCAACCCTCGCTAAACTTAGCTTCGGCACATATTCCCCTAGCTTAGCCCCCTAACACACACGCACATGCCATACGGTAATCTATACTAGATGAGCACGTATAATATATAATGATTTTAAAATTTCTTGTTATTATTATTTTAATATTATAATAAGTTATGATATGTAATAATAATCGCGATCGTTTTTTCAATCATTCGCGATTTAAAATCATGTTTTTGAGCCCATGAACCATTTATCATAGCTAATTCTCGTATATTAGCTGTTATAATGAGAATTAATTACTTAATTTTTATGTTATTATCTCAAATTTTAATACAAAGAAAGGTTTATATTTTGCAAATGCTTCGGTTTAGATCTAAATGAATTGTTTAGAACTTGACGAAGATGACAAATTAAACCTTCATACAAAAGGTAGCTAGCTAGATAACATATATAGGAATCATTCACCAATGCATGCCTAAATTTGTTTAGTGCTTTAAAATGATTATGGTTGTGGGGGAGGTTGAAACATTATAGAATTACTAAAATTCTTTATGAAGTGACGTAGTATCATGCAATTTGTGTTTTATTATTCTCTTGCCTTACACTGCCAAGATTAACAAACATTTCCTTTTAATTAATTAAGATAAAGTCAACAGCAAGGGTGAGTCATTTTAGGAGGGTACGTATTAATTGGAAAAAAATAAGTTTGAATTGATTTTGAAAATGGTAACCCAATAATGTTGATGGCGATATCTGTTTATAAAGCCAATAATAAATTAGCGTAACAATAAATGATTTTTTCATAGAATATCTATCAATAAATAAAGTAGTTGAGAGCTCGAATCTTAATTACCATATAGGAAATCTATTTGTGAGTATGAGGTTTTACATTGACTCTCTTTGCGGCAGGGAATCAGTCAATAATAAAGATCATTTCGGTGCAGGTCCGACGCCTGCAAGGCAACAAGAAGCTCATCCACATTTACTAACCCACTTGATCAGCTAATTACCATTGCAAATGATCTTATCTTTCTTTGCTCACATTTCGTCTGTGACCACCCACATTCATATAAATAAACTAACCTGCCTGCCCAGTTTTGACTTAGTTTTCTGGTCTTTAATTCAAACAAAGAAAAGAGCGGTCATATTCCATACACAAAGTCCTTCATGATTCACTTATTATACTGTTAATTTATAGATCAAGCAGCCTGCATCCCCATCAATTTGCTTCATTGGATCACCCAACTGCTGGTCTCATCACAGTCAAAAGTTTAGAAATTTTACGATTTTGAAACTGAAGACCAAAATATAGATTAGTAATCTACTTTGACAAGGGTAACTCATGATGCCCATGCAAGCTAGTGGGAAGTGTCATATCGTCTTGCTTTTCTCGATGCCATGTGACCCAGTTGCCTTTTTAGGCAGCTCTTTAATCAACAAATTTACACCACCTACAACCCCATTATTGCTTGTAACCTTCACTTATTTTTCTTCTCATATTTCTTATTTTGCAACTCTACTTTTAACTATTATAATAAAATAAACAAATGAATGAATAAATAAGTTGTATGGTTATCTCGCAGCAAGCAACGATGCTGCTATATAAATAAGGAAAAAAAAATTGTAAACTAGTTCGATATATGTTAGAGATTGATATAAATTATATTCTAGAGCCTCATCTATCAGCTTAAATTTTTAGGTGAGATGGTCCTTTAATATGGTATCGTAACTCGATTGATCTCGAGGTCCCGAGTTCAAGTCTCACCATCCTCAATTTCTCAAGTATTAAACACAAGATAATGTTGGCTTGTGTAAGTTTTATGTCTCAAATGTTGAATCTTTCACTTGAGAGAGTGTATTCGAGATTAATATAAATTATATTCTAGAACCTCACTTCATCAGCTTAAGCAAACAACTAAAAGCATTGCTTGGATGATGTTACCCTGAGCTGTTGATGAGAAAATCATGCAGAAAAAACAAAAAGAGAAAGCAACAAAAATGCTATATGTAGCAACAAAAATGCATAGACAGAATCGATATTCTGTGATGATTTAGGACTAAACCTAACTTTTCTGTTTGTAAAGAAAATAATGATCAATAATTAAGGTTGAAAAATGGTGGCATTAGGTGGAGATTCCTCTAACTGAAATTGCTAGCTATCATTTTCACCCACAATTAAAATTTGAATATATATATATACACACACACAGAGCATTGCTTGTGAGATGGGCCTATTGAGGGTCCTCTCTATTGGATAATTGAATCTTTCTTCCTTGGTATGGAGAATCCACAACAGGTCGAGCCTACCTAACATTTCAGCTGCTAGGAGGGAAGTAAGACTTCAAATCTGGGATAGAAACTGCAGAAACATTCTACCAAAATTTATTCACAAGACCCTTCAATATAAAAAGAAAAACAATGATGTATGAGCTTAATAAATATAGAAAACAACATTGTTCATTTATACGTACATTAATGACAGACCTATGATTGAAGAATCTAAGCATAAAAGTTCTTTTTTTAGCTTAATTTTGAGGATGCTCCACCACAGCATATATACCGGTACGAAATGGATACACCACACAGTATTCAGTCTCTTCCCTATAGAATTTGGCATTCGTTATTATTCTTAGAAAGTGAAACAACCTTCTATGGTCTATCCAAAGTAGGGAACAGTTGGAAGGTGAATCCAAATCTGAAAAAACCTTATTGATTGATATGCCTCCAGAAGACCATAGCCTTGGATAACTGAAAGAACATTATGTACGAGTGAATGGCTGTAAAGGACTAGAGAGATGACAATACCTTGAATTGGAGTTAGGCATGTACAGTTACAGATGAGCTCATGGATACACAGCCTTTCAAGCGTTCAATAATGGCATTCCGATTGACTAGGCCCGAGTGTGAAGTAAGAGGAAGGCCCTCTTTGACACATTCATCGTACCTCTCCAAAGCAGAAACAATGTAACTGAAATCTGGTCGCTTGGAGGGATTGGCTGCCCAGCAGCGCTTTATCAAGTGCGCAAGTGCTGGCTGACAACTAGCAGGTAGTGGCGGCCGCTCATTCTGCCATACAAAAAAACCTAATTTAAATAAAGCTGGTGTCAAGCTGTTCTGTTGCCCCAAGTTCTGAGGCTAAAATTTACATTTCAGAGTTTGAAAAGGGAATAATATGTAGTTATCAACCAAAGGAGTGACCATTTTCAATGTGAACAACAATGAGATCAAATATGTATATCCTACACAGAATTGTCCATTTATTGTGTCAGCATGCTTTATGTTATTCTATAGAATATGCATTCTAAGCTCTATCAGACTATAACATATCTTCTGATACCACCTCTGTCCTCCAAAGTTTTAGCACAGGAGCCTTACAGATGGTAGACCACCGAAAGATCGACCACTCGCACAAAACTGACAGAAAGTTACTTCAGAGAGCCTCCATATTGCTCAATCTACTCTTAATTAAGTTCTGGCTTATATGCCTAGCTAGCAGAGCCCTTCCATATTTCAAATGACCATCAGGTCTCGTTCTTATAGTCCCCAACATAATTACCAGCTGCAAATTTCGGTTTTCACCAGCCTTCAATATGGTTCAATTGATGTCTAGAATTCCTATTCTTGTACACACGGATTAAATGTTATTTCAGAGAACTAGGGCTGCAGCACTAGATTGCTAGTTTTAATGAGTAATCTCAGAGACTTACCCCCAGAAAAATGCTGCATGATCAACCTAACCACCATTGGTAAATGTCTGCCTTTAGAATCTTCATTGAAACAAATTTTCAGAACAATAACTGTTAATGTTTACAGCGCATAACAGATGAAAAACATCCAAGTTTGGAAACAGTAGTGGCAACATGCGGTCAGATCCCCAAATCTTTTTATTAAGGCTTAAATGGTCATAAAACAATTTACAGTATTAGGAGGATAGCAGAATTAATCTACTCATGTCCCGAAGAAAAAATGTAGCAGATAAAGAAAGGAGATGCGGATTCTGTTTATATGCCCCAAGGATGGAGAACACTACAGTTGAATATCAACGTTATGGAGTATACACTCTTCAAAAATTGTATTTCAACTTGCACGATTCTAAGTACGAGCTGGCTGCGGCAGCAATAGTTATCGAAGGTATAGACATATCAAGGCCAGCATTTTGCAGTAACAAGTCTATAGCTAGATTGTGGAGCTAATCTTTCTCATCACTTCTAAGTTCTCATAACTTTTGCCATTTTGGATTAGGAAATGACAACCTCCAAAGTTATTCTTCAAAGACACATACCAAATTGAATGAAGCCCTCGAAGACAGTTCATTATTACCGGTATTGGTTATTTAATGGCAACCAATGAGTGATTTCACAAATAATTGCAGATATCACCTTAATATAAAACATGAGTTCGAAAGGACTAGTATAGGATCAAGAACACAGATACACAAAAAGAGCAGATAAAAATCTCCTTCTTTCTCCTACCAAATTTTTCATGAAAGAAGAGACTTCTAGCATTTTAGATGATTTTTCTCTAAGATTATAGGTCTCGTTGACTTTATGAACAGATAATTATTATGGGAAAGTCTCACCGCTTCAAGTTCTGTATTTTTCATAAATTTTAAGAAACAAGAAAAGCACACACGTAAGCTTGTCATTAGCAAGTGCTTGTTGATTTCGACAAAAATAATTAGCTTACCTTCTCTGCCACAGCAAATGCAGCTTGCACAGGGGTCATTCCTTGAAAGGGAAGCAAAGCTGTAGTTAGCTCCCACAACACAATCCCAAAACTATACACGTCAACTTTCCGAGTACAAGGTTTCTCCTTGATCATCTCCGGTGCCATCCAGCGGTAGGTTCCCTTGTTCCCTTTCGTTTCTTGGCACTGTGTTTCTAGACACGATGTACCAAAATCAGCAACCTTAACCCGCATTTCATCATTTAGAAGCAAATTATTTGATTTCAGATCTCTGTGGATGACTCCCTGGGAATGAAGATACTCCATTCCTCGTGATATATCAAGAGCTAATCTCAGTATTGTTTCTGTTGAAAGTGAGTATGGCTCTTTCTTGTTGAGATACATCCTCAGAGTTCCTTGTGACATGTATTCTGTGATGATACAGTACACGGGTGGCTTTTTACAAGCTGCAATGAACTGTAAAGAAGGCAGTTTACCATCTTGCTATAAAATGTTCAGATTCTGATAAAGCTATCACAAGAGTGAGAATGAGAGTTTTAATTAATGGAACATGCCTTCTCCACCTAATGGCAATTGAATAAAACAACATCACTGCCTAAATTTGTTCAGAATCATCAATAGCATGAGAGATCACAAAATCATTACAGCTTCAGGTTGAGGTACGAAGAACAGATACGGATAAGAAACATGAGGTTTTTATCAAGCCGATACCGTGGAAATTTGATTGTTTCCAAAAATCTGGTCAACCCTGTATGCCATCTTCTAAAGCTTGAAGAATAGGATAAGCAAGAAACTTTCAATAAATTAAGAATGCTTTCACTTTGGAACAGATTTCCTTGTCAAAATCAAATTACAAAATTAAACATGTTAGACAAAACTGTTCTATAAAAATTAAGAACAAATACATGTTCAACAAAAAAAAAAAGCAGTATCTAGCAAGTGCTGATGCAAGATTTAGAGACTAGATGCCAGGAACCATTAATTACATTTATCTCTTCATCTACATAGTAGGATATTTCGAAGAATAAACATATGAAAAAAACAAATATCAAATAGGTAAGAATGTTTAGTTTGGCAGTGGAACAGAAAACCGAGCATTTTAGACTCAAGAAATAGTTCCGTCAATTTAAGAACAAATAGCTATTTCATAATTTATAGACCAAAGAAATGCCTGTAAAGGATTCATTGATTACCCTTTATCTCTTCACTAATTATTCATTAACATATTAATCATATCAACTAAACCATTGCTAATTAATGAAAAGAAATGCTCTGTGCTTTTAACCGATCGGTTAGAATGCAGAACCACACACACCTGCACTATATTGGGATGAAAGAGACGCGAAAGCAAAGCAACTTCACTTTTGAACTGCTGTTCAAGCAAAGTTCTAGTCTCCTCCTTTTGGGTTGGAATTCTCACCATTTTTACAGCAACAGCTCTCTGCTTGTAAATTCCACGATAAATCCTACTATGAGCTCCAGAGGCAAACTTGTTGCCTATAAATAACTGTGAAAGGTCAGCAGTCCACTCTTCCTGATCTTCCTTTGATACCTCCCAAGTCTCTACATTCTCAGATTCCAATATCATTGACCATGACTCCAAGCTGTCAAATCTCTTCCTCTCTAAGTTCTCCATTTCTAAATTCAAACGGGATTTTGATGAGGAAGGGATTCTTAATGGTTTGCTCTTCGTTCTTCGAAGACGAAATGCATGGAAACATGAACTCGCCATTGAAGAAGAACCTCTCTTGTTGTGTTTGATATTAGTGTCAAATATAATATTTTTTGGAAGAAAAAAAGAAAAAGTGTCAAAACAAACAATCAAAAGGAGCTTTCCTCCTGAAAGTGTGAATTGATTTTAGAAAGTGCATGAACTGATTCAAAAACATGGGTTCTGTAGAAAATTGAAAAACAAAAATGGGTTTTCATGAATTGATCAAAAACAGTACAAGAAACAGTCATGCACACAAACAAAACACATTGATCAAGTTTTTTTGTACATGAAAAAACCAGTCAAACGAATAACTACCGAAAAAGACAACTAACAAGCAAACAGAGGCTTTATGGTTTCATGGCACGAAGAACTGGAAAGTAAAGAAAAGGAAAAATTCATGAAAATGCAGGGGTATTATTGTTGCAAAAAAAGAAAAGAGAGAGAGGAGAGATTTTCACGGCAGGATCAAGAGATTAGGTCGCTTGGCAGTGGAAAGATAGATGAATTCAAAGCAGAAATTTCAGGGGGGTCTCGTGAATGCTCCATTCAAAAGTAAAAGAGAAAACTTTTTAGTTTCTTGAGACAGCTACAGAGGCCGACAGAGAGAGAGAGAGAGAGAGAGAGAGAGAGAGAGAGAGGGGAGCTATTTTCTGGACCGAATCCAACTCCTCTGTTTCTGCTGCATCTTCCTTGCATCTTTCCTTTTTATCATCATTAATGCTAAGTGGCCACAGTTACAAAAATAGGGTTATGATCATCAGATGAGATGATCCTGATTCACAAACAATCAAACATGACTCCACCTTCTTAAGCTCATCTTTGCATTCCCATGTTATGTTAATGAAAAATTCAAACTTTAGGATATATGCCATCTTTAAATCACTGTTACACTACTATTTATGTACAACCACAAGTGGCATTTACAGGTGGGCAGTCCTTGATAGGACAAGTGGCATATCATTCACCATCTGACACCACTTTCTGTCTATCTTCTCTCTTTGCTACAAACACTTTATCCCAGCCAAACACTCTTCAAATACAGTAGAATCCCACCAGATTTAGGAAAAAAATTAAAAAACATTTTAGGGAAAAAAAAAGTTTTGGAATAAAAAACAAAACATTCATAAGTTTTGAGGCGTTTTTAATTACTAAACAAGTTAAAAATATAAACTATCTGCAAATCAAGTATACTACTACGATGAAAATGAATAAAAACCCACCAGAGTACTTAATTTCAAATGAAGAATAAGCGTTTGATATGATGGAAATGAATTCGTTTATGTTAGCTAGCTGTCCCTTTCAGTCTATATATATATAGAACAGAAAAGAATAGATTAATCAAATTAAAGGCTATATATATATTGGCAACTGCTTTGGTAGTCTGCATGTGATTTAGAACAGTAAATGATCTGTTACGTACCATGCATAGGCTATATATTATGATCATAAGATTGAACATAAAAGCAAGCAAGTGGCTTCTTAGATAATTATCTTCATCCTAGCTAGCTAGCTACTCCATGAATATATATATATTTATTTAATTTAATACTTCTTCGAGTAGCTAGAAAGCACTACTTCTTTCAACTGTATATATTTAATCAATTCTGCCTAAAATTTCTACATATTTTGAAAGTAAGGAAAAGGAAAAGGGATAAAAAGGAACGAGGTAAGTGCATACATATATACTTAGGATAATGGAATTGTACTCGATCTTGACAGACTCATCATGATCACCACTTTATTCCAAACCATTGGAACTTGCCTTTGATGTGGAGTAGTATATATCTTTTCTAACGCGTTTTATTTTAATACAAGTATCAAAGAATCAAAGCAGGAGTTTTTTCTCCCGCACGATTGGCTTATAAGCTAAGTCTAATAGTATTCCCATGACTACTAGAGAATATCCATTCTGATCACAAAGTATAAGCAAAGGGCATTTTCCAAAAAGCAATGGAAGGGACTTTGCCCACCTCATTAATTCTCAAACTCTCTCTAGCACACAAAGAGTATTCCCATCTTTAATTTGATCAGAAACAAAAAGGAATAGACTTTGGGTCTTAATTTGTTTTATGATCTGTATCCAAGTACTAAAAAATAAGTTATTTGTCAATTTTAGTTCCTTTTTTACGATGCACTCTTCTCATGAGCATGCCCTTCGAAAGATGAAAACAACTAAAGATTGATGTGGATATATGGTTAAAAAATCTCATGCATGCTCTTCTCAATTCGTATGAAATACATGGCCAAATTATTTTGGGACCCCAGTTTGATCCAATCCTTTGCAAGTTGTGTCGTTGTCTTTGTCAACTATGTGTATGTATCTTGCCATTGCGGACCGGATGGGTCAATGGGATGGTGCTAAGAGTCGAAACTTGTGAAAAGGTGGCAGGACCAATAAGAAATTGGGCAAGGTTTATGGGCCATGAGAAAACCGATAGTTCGAAACTGGACCAAATGTGAAAAGGTGCAAAAGGGTCAATAATACCACTTCTGGTAAGATTTTGAAGTTTGGGCCATCCAGACTTTCTGGCCCAACATTTGAGTGTTAATAAGTTTAAACAAATATGTATTGAATGCATCCTCGAACCATACTTGTTTTTTATTCATCAGAATTTCTTGATCTTCTCCTATTAAATCTTCCTCTTTAAAGTTCATAAAGTCTAGCATCTCTAAAACAAAAGGGTCATCGATACCAAGAGCCTCCTTACCTCACATGCACGTGTGTATGTATAGAGTCGAACCCTTTTGTTTTCGTCTTGTACTAGATTTTTTATTCATGTTATGCTGTAAATCAAATAGAATATATAAAATTATATTTTAAAAATTATTTTAGTTTAATTTTTCGTATTATATTATGTATATATTAAACTATATCAAATCAAAATTGAATAAAAATTCATTTAATTTTATAATTTTTAATCAAAATTTTGTATTTGATTGATTATCCTTTATATTTTTTATATTTTTTTTATTAGAAAAAATTATTTATTTATTTCTATCCACAAACTAAAAAAATTATAATAATATAAAAATGTTAAAATTAATGGATTCTGAGCTAAAAAATTATTTTTAAAATTATTTTTTAAATATTTTTTGTCTTAAATTTTTTGATTAAAAAAATCGAGAGAAAAAAGAATCAAAGTGACAAAAAAAAAAAAAAAGATCAAAACCAAACAAAAAATATTTACAACTAAAAAATAGTATTTCAAAAAGAAAGATCAAATTGTAATATCCCGAAAACTTTCATAATAAATATCTTTAAAATATTTAAAAACTATACAAATATTAATACTAATGCATAGTAAAATAAAATAGTACGAATAAGTCTAAACAAATAGTGTGAATGAGTCTTTGTAAATAATATTTCAAATAATACAATAAATAATAACTATACGTTTTACTTTAATGCCTTTTTTTATATATATAAAAACAATTTTTTTACCTTTCTCTTTTCAAAATGACTTAAACTAGCTAGTTAATGCACTCTTAACAAATTATATATTTCTGAAAAGTAATTAACGGGGTTGACGTGGAAAAGCAGGACCCCATGAACAAGGGAATCCCACCTAACACGTATATCAATAATTCTAGCACATAACAAGATGTCAAGATTAAACAAGGTGCATGGAGTATATCTATTTGTTAATGCAAGATTTGCATGAACCACCGCATGCCACTGGGCTTGATTAAATTAAATAAATATGCTTAATTGTTATATATGTCATTAGAGAAAACCCACCTTGCTTATGCAAAAGATATCCGAAAGCGATGGGAATCTGTGCAAATTAATAACTATCCTTAATTAGAATTCCAGAAAACAATTCAAAACGGGGTCTCTCTCCTTCAATCTCACATAGATTACAACCAAAAAGTACACAAATCAAGCCTTGTGTTTCCTTAACAGGATCTTGATAATGAGCTTTTGTTGCACTTATGTATTAATCAAATTCTCTCCTCTAAATTATAATCAATCAAAGAGAAAGTGACCCTAATTCTTGTAAATACGACATCTGTTCAAGTCTATGTAAATGTGGTCCGAAGTTAGCAAAGAGCAACCTATTACCCATTCACCAATCAACATGTCCACTCTATAATACAAATCATAAATAATGAAAATACATTGCGTATAGTTTAATAGAGACCATCTTCTACAAAATGAGCCATCAAACAATCAATGATCAATCCACGAGTTCAAAAGTTATAGACTAGTGAATTAGATTGTGTCCTACAGCCATTATTCACCAAATTTTATTTTATAAAGTAATGACTATAATATCATATTAAATTTGAAAATCTGATTTGAACTTATTTAATTATTTAATATTTATTCAATATGAGATAAGTTTTCTAACACAAACGTTACGTTTTTTTTTTTTTCAAATAATCTTATTATACTTATATTCATAAATGAAGTTATTTAAATATAAATATGTCATTTTTCTAATAAATGAGTGATAGATCTCCGACATGGTATCTCAAATTAAATGAATTTTTTCGTTATTTTTGAACGAAGTCCTTGATTTCTTGTGACTCTTCTTTAAAAGTTAATTAAAACTCTAGCTAGCTTTAGAGATTTTAAGCTTGAATGGTAAGAAAGAGTGGTCAAGAAGCCAAACAAACTTTCTTTACCCGTTTCCTCGATCGAGTTGCTAGTAGCTAGTACAAGTATGCATGGAAAAAGCTCTCCTTTTCGTTGTTCATCAATGGAGGGGGACAAGAAAAGATGCAAAGCTAGCTAGAGTAGGGCTAACGTAATTATCAAAAGAAGAAGAGGTGGAAGCAGCGAAACAAAGAATCCTTTTGTAAAAGGAAATGCTAGCTTGATGGACGGAACAAAGTGACAGCTATCGAGCTTATCTTACCGTTACCTAGCTAGCTAGGAGGAACGAAACGAAACTATATGGACAACACTACCCTTGAAAGTTTATTTGATTTGATTTGAAAAGGTGAAATCACCATCTCAGAGGGCACTTTCTATCCAAATGGAACAAAACCAATCAAGGGATGGTACTGTTGTT